ACTCACAGCCGAAGTAAAAACAATAAGTGTGGCTTGATATTGAGTAAGAAAAAGGTTTATAACGCTGTGAGAATGGTACTGCGGATCCCAACTTAGCAGCCCGAAAACGTTTACCCATTTAAACAGCCGTGGTAGATACCTTGTTTGTTTTAAACATCATAAATACACAAACAACAATGAATACTTACAGGATGGGTACCCGAATCTCCCGCTGGTCCAAACAAAGTAGTGTGCAACTCGATTTTGACAGGAAAGCAACTGGAGACTTCTAGAATTGTGTGAGTAACATTCTGTTTTTAGACTTCTCTGTTTCAGTGTGTGTACTCTGTATCAATGCTCTGTAGTTGATCTGACTGAAATTGTGATTTTAAATCTCAAAACCGCTACAGTATCTGTCAGGCAGAAACTTGGGACAAGTCATTTGACTGAAACCTTAAAACTGAACTAACTGACTGCTAGGGTTAACTTTGATTTAAACATTTGTAGAATACTAAGAGCTTTATTGAGTAGGTGTAACTGTATTAAGGGTTAAACTCATAACTTTATAACTTAAGGTTTAATGTAATTGTAAAACCATTGGGCCACTTAAAATACAATAACAAGTCAGGAGGAAGCCAGTCTAGATTTCCTTTTGAGGGCCACCAGCTGCAGAGAGTTAACTAATTAAAGGGACGTGGCCCCACAGCTGTGAGAACTCAGCAATCAATACTTTGATTGAGCTAAAGTATCGCTGGTGTTTTATTTTATTTGGTTGTTTAGCCCCTCATGCTATAATCATGTGTATTTTCTCCATTCCTGTTTATGTGTCTTCTCGCAATTATCACTGGCCCCGTGTATCTCGTAATCGATATAACCGGCCTGCTCTCGTCTATCCCACATGCTCCACTGAGATCCAACTTCTAGTTTCAGGCGGCCTGTGGAACTGCCAGTCAGCTGTTCCTAAGGCTGACTTCATCTCTGGCTACGCTTCCCTGCAGTCTCTGGATTTCCTTGCTCTCACTGAGACGTGGATTACTCCATCCAACACATCCACCAGCTCTCTCCACTGCATATTCCTTCTCCCATACACCCAGACCCACTGGCAGAGGAGGTGGCACTGGTCTCCTGCTCTCTCCCAAATGGAGCTTTTCCCTCTTCAAGCTACCTAACTTCACTCCTTCCACCTTTGAATTCCATGCCGTCACAGTAACCCATCCTATACAATTAACCATTGTTGTTCTCTACCGTCCACCAGGCGCCTTGGGGGACTTCTTGGAGGAATTAGATCATCTCCTCTCACACATCCCTGAAACTGGTCCTCCCGCTGTACTTCTCGGAGACTTCAACCTCCAGACGGGGAAGATAGACGAACTAACATCTCTGTTAACCGCCTTTGCTTTCTCACTTTCTCCGTCCCCACCAACTCATAAAGCTGGTAATGTTCTTGATCTCATATTCTCAAGGAACTGTACTACTTCTAACCTCTCTGTAAACCCGCTCCACACATCTGATCACTTCTTCATTTAATTCTCTCTACCCCTTTCCAAACATAACAAACTAATCTCTTCTCATCCTGCACCTGTCCGCCGTAACCTTCGTTCCCTCTCCCCCTCTACCTTTGCCTCATCGGTCCTCTCACATCTCGGCAGGCTCGTCAGTCCCCTCCTGCTCCCTGGCTAAATGATGCACTGCGTGCTAATAGAACCGTCCTTCGGGCAGCAGAGCGGAAATGGTGGAAATCCAAACACCGTGACGACCTCCTAACCTATCAGGCTCTCCTCTCCTCTTTCTCTGCTTCGATCTCTCAGGCAAAAAGCACTTTCTTTCAAGATAAGATCCAATCTTCCTATTCCAATCCCAAAAAACTATTTTCCATCTTCTCCACCCTCTTGGACCCTCCCAAAGCCCCTCCCCCCTCCTCACTTCTGTCAAGCGACTTTGTTAACCACTTTGAAAAAAAGGTTGATGATATTCGCTCTTCTTTTTCTGACTCACCTTTACTCACCGCTGGGTCACCAGACCCTCCTTCCACCAACACACTAACCTCCTTTTCCCCTCTCTCTCCAAGTGAGGTTCTTACCCTCATTACCTCTGCCCGCCCTACCACCTGTCCTCTGGACCCCATCCCTTCAAACCTCCTTCAGACTATCGCTCCTGATATTCTACCGTTTCTCACCCCATTTCATCAACACTTCTCTAACTTCTGGTCACTTTCCAAACAGTCTCAAGGAGGCAAGAGTAAACCCTCTCCTAAAGAAACCCACTCTCAACCCGTCAGATGTTATAAACTACAGGCCTGTCTCTCTCCTCCCGTTCCTGTCTAAAACACTTGAACGCGCTGTCTTTAGACAACTCTCCTGCTATCTCCATCAGAACAACCTTCTGGATCCGCACCAGTCTGGTTTCAAGGCAGGTCACTCCACAGAAACTGCCCTCCTTGCTGTCACTGAGGAACTGCACACTGCTAAAGCAGCCTCCCTCTCCTCTGTCATCATCCTTTTGGACCTGTCTGCTGCATTCGACACGGTGAATCATCAGATCCTCCTTCGCACTCTCCAAGAACTTGGAGTTTCAGGCTCTGCACTTTCCCTCCTCACCTCATACCTCAAAGACCGCACCTACAGGGTTACTTGGAGAGGGTCCGAGTCCGACCCTTGTCAATTAACTACAGGGGTCCCTCAGGGCTCTGTTCTTGGTCCCCTCCTCTTCTCCTTGTACACAAACTCGCTCGGATCAGTCATTAGCACGCATGGTTTTTCATACCACTGCTACGCTGACGACACCCAATTAATTCTGTCCTTTCCCCGCTCAGAGACCCAGGTCGTCGCACGCATCTCTGCTTGTCTAGCTGACATCTCTCAGTGGATGTCTGATCATCACCTCAAGCTCAACCTTGACAAGACTGAAATGCTTTTCCTTCCGGGAAAAGATTGTCCCACTCTTGACCTAACAATCAACATTGGCACCTCTGTTGTTTCCCCGACTCAGACTGCAAGGAATCTGGGTGTGATCCTAGATAACAACCTGTCCTTCACTGCAAACATTGCTACTACAACCCGTTGCTGCAGATACACGCTTTACAACATCAGGAGGATGCGTCCCCAGCTGACCCAGAAAGCAACGCAGGTTCTGGTCCAGGCTCTCGTCATCTCACGCCTAGACTACTGCAACTCCCTCCTGGCTGGTCTACCTGCATGTGCCATCCGACCTCTGCAGCTCATCCAGAATGCAGCTGCTCGCCTGGTCTTCAACCTTCCTAAATTCTCCCACACCACGCCGCTCCTCCGCTCCCTCCACTGGCTTCCGATAACTGCTAGAATCCACTTCAAGACACTGGTACCTGCGTACCATGCTGCGAATGGTTCTGGCCCTTCCTACATCCAGGACATGGTTAAACCGTACACCCCAGCGCGTGCACTACGCTCTGCATCAACCAAACGGCTCGCTGCACACTCGCTGCGAAGGGGACCCAAGTTCCCATCAGCAAAAACACGTGGGTTTGCTATCCTGGCTCCAAGATGGTGGAATGAGCTCCCCATTGACATCAGGACAGCAGATAGCTTACACACCTTCGGGCGCAGACTGAAAACTCATCTCTTTCGACTCCACTTCGAGCGTTAGAACTATTAACAAAGCACTTATATACTAATAAAGGGCTGGGTTATCTAAAGCCAGTTGAGTAGCACTTGAAATGTTTTTGCTCTATGAAGCCTGATGTACTTATATGATTCTGTTTTCTTCAAGTTTGTATTTTGTTGGTCGAACGCACTTATTGTAAGTCGCTTTGGATAAAAGCGTCAGCTAAATGCAATGTAATGTAATGTAATGTAACAGCATCGTTCTTTAGTGCCCTACGCTGTACATATCCGGCATGAATCGCTGAAAGGTTTGTGAAGCTTTGTTTCGTGAAATGCTGGCAGAGGGTGCGGCCTCTGGCTATTCACACGTCACTGTACCCAGGAAGTAAACAATGGAAAAAGAGAAATTTCCAAGGAGGCGTTCTGGGGCAGCATCGACAGGTCTTCTCTGTGTTCGAGTTTTACTCGCTGCAGGGTGTACTTTGAGGGTTTGTGACTCTGCAGACCGTTTACATGCAGAAAAACCTTCATAACACACAAGAGGACGGTAATAACCGGAAAAGCATGACATGGGCCCTTTTGAAGTGCCCCCATAAATAGAATCAAATTATGTGGGAAACAGTGCCATATTTAACTTCTTACACACAGGCATCCGCATCTCAGCTGACCAAAAAGATAACGTCTGCAGATTTCTGATTAGGGAAAACACCTGTAGGTGGAGGAGGAAAGAGAAACACACACACCAGGGCATGAAACAGAGGTCAAGGAATAGTCGTTAGGAAAGGACACAGGACCTGATTCTTTTACTATTTGACCCTGACCGATGAGTCAGCAGCGGAGTGGGAAGACTCTCTCATGTGACGGCTAAACAGAAATGCATCATGGTTAAAGCATTGAGAGCTTTGCACCCTGCAGTAGATCGCGAGGCCCTCTTTGTATACGGCATGTGCTAACTTCTATGGCCTCGGGCTGGAAATATACATCATCAGCCACCTAGACAGGGCCCCACCTGGACTCCGGTGACACACACACACACACACACTGAAACATGTCTCCTCTGTAACACTCTGTCTAAACATGTTTCCTGTATGACGATGAGCTTCTGTGCTGCCCTCAATGATGTCATCACACACACACGCACACACACACACACACACACACACACACACACACACACACACACCTTCACCAGGCATTTCACAGATGTTTTTATCATAGCTAACCAATCAGACGTGAGGTTGCATGTCAGGACACTTTGCTGACAAACATGCAGCTGCAGCGTGATGTCAGACATGTTGGACTTCTTATCAATATCTTATTGCCACAGCCTGGTTTAAATGCTGCAACAAATATAGAAGACCAAATGAGTTTAACAGTGACAAATATGCATAATGATTTACAAAGAAACAATAAGTAACAAAACAAACAACAATAATCAGCAGCAGCATTTGAAAGCATTTTTATTCTGTACTTAGGACACATTTGAGGTATTTGATTTTATGCTACTGTATACTTCTAATCCATTACATCTCAGAGGGAAGTATTTCATGTTTTACTGGTTTATATTTGTTTTGCAGCTTTAGTTACCTTACAAATGCAGATGTTCGTATACAAAAAGCTTATCAAATATGATTGTTTTGTCATTAATAAATTACTGAACAGTTAATACGGGACAAATATTTGAAATCATTTGAATCACCACTGATAATCAGAAATCTCAGCATGTTGGGATGTGCACATGTTTTGTTAGCTGCACAATTTCACACAGCCATACCTTTTTACATCAGTTACTATTTACTAAATATAATAAACTAAAGGTTTGTTTCATTACTTCTTAATAAATGTGCATATTTATTACTTTAAACTGTGTCTGGCATTCCTTTCTTTGTCACAGTCTTTGCAGAAAACTGTCGACTCTGTACGTGAATTGATCAAAATGATCCCCACTGATGAAGGTGTTGTTGTTTCAAATACATTTTAGTCAAAAGGTTAAGTCTATAATCATGCATTTATAAAGCTTGTTAACATATTTTATTTGAAGTTCACTCCTAGACTCGGGTTGTTTAATTAGCAGGTAAACTATCTCACATAATCCAATTTGTTTTTGGCCCAGACCGTTTGTGAGTAATTCTCTTCTGCCTTAATGTGTTGTTACAGCTGGAAATATCTTTATTATTTAGAAACATCTTAAACCCAGAATGTCTCTGTCTGTATCGAACAATAACTGCTGTGTTTTGTAAGGAATAGTCATTGCTTTGAAAAAAGGTTAAGTCTATCAGTTTAAATTATTCCCAGCACCATTTGAAAATACTTACACAGCTCAATACGTTAATACCCAGTGAACAATAAATCAGTGTGCTGAAAGAGAATTGGTATGCACCTGGAGACAGAAACCTGCAGGTCAGGTTTGGATGGAGAGAATTAAGGAACGGAGCATAAACAGGAACCTGATTGCTCTCATGTGAAGTGGTGAGATCACGCAGGGTGACGTAGTCCTCTGCACGACACATCCTACTCTCTCTCACAAATACACCCGACAACGTCGATAGATAAAGTCTGGAAGCTGTGGACAGGTTTGCGTGTGATGGGCGTGTCTCGTCTTGTAACGTAAACCCAGTAGTGTAGATTAATGAAAGTGTTTTGACCCTATGACCCAATATCTGGGATTATGCAACAGCTTCCTCTTTGAGAGACAAGCGAGAACATTCCAGTCTCATTCCCTGATGACACACCGAATCCCTGACGAGGAGGAACAGACACAGACAGAAAAGAGAGACACATGATGTGATTAGTATTTTGGAATTAGTGGCTCAAAATGTACATTAACAGCTAAATACTTTGCAAAAAAATGACTTATTGAATGTATTTTTTAAGTACTTACCAGTATAATCAATGAAAAACTATTAAAGAATCCAAATGATAAGGATTCAGAATAAGAATACTTTATTTAGCATGAGAGACATTTTGTTTTATTGACAGTTGCTCTATTGGAATACAAAATAAATAAAGTAAAATAAATGGTGTATAAACATGTGAAGTCTAAGTAAAAATGTGCAATAAAAATATATAATACAACAATTTAATTGAAAATGTTCATAAAAGAACAAGAAGTTAAAGTAAAAATGTGCAAAACATATGAAAATAACACTCAGAGATATGTAACATGTGTATATTACAATTTATATAGTTGTGTATCAGTGTTGATACAGATATACATGCTGAAAATACCACATTATTGCTCGAAATGTACAGTGTACCTAATAATAAGTGAGTTTTACTGAATATCTGAAGACACACTGACAGAAACACAATGATATGACAGTAACACCAATCAAAATAAGGCTGGGTTTATGGTGATAGTGAAAAGGAAACGGATAGAAAAAGTCAGACAGGGTACAGTTAGTTATGACTTCATGCTGACACACCAGCAGCTGTATTATTGGCCGACGGTTCACCAGCGCTGATAAGACCTCAGCGCTAACCTTATAAGGGCATCATCCCTCTTACTCATTTACTATCTGCCCGACTGAAAGGCTAACTGTTCGGGACGGGCTTCAACCTCAGATGATCTGCATTCCCATAAAGTTGCTTTCATTATCAACGCTTCCACACTTCTTGCCTGTTTGTCAAGCCTCTCAGTTCCTCCCGTCTCCTCCCACATTGTAATTCCTCACACTCGTCTTCTTCTTCTGTCTTTACTCTCCGTCCCTCTCTCATTATTTTGTTACTGTGTGACCGTGCGTTCACCTCCTGTTAGGTAAGGAGGTCAGTCAGCATGCATTGCACACAGACACACACACATGAACACACACCCCCAGAGAAGTGGTACAATCCAGCTACAGCCAGATGTGTGTGTGTGTGTGTGTGTGTGTGTGTGTGTGTGTGTGTGTGTGTGTGTGTGTGTGTGTGTGTGTGTGTGTGTGTGTGTGGCCTAGCATTACTATACTTGTGGGGACCTAAATCTGTTTACACAGTCACGTGTGGGGACTCGCCTCCCTTATGGGGACAAATTGGAGGTCCCCATAAGGGGAATCATTCATTTTAGGGTGAAGACTTGGTTAGGTTTAGGATTAGGGTAAGGGTAAGGGTTAGGGTTAGGGTTAGATTTAGGCATGTGTTGGTTATGGTTAAGGTTAGGATAAGTCTCCAGGAAATGCATGTAAGTCAATATAATGTCCCCTGAAGTGATGTATACATGGTATGTGTGTGTGTGTGTGTGTGTGTGTGTGTGTGTGTGTGTGTGTGTGTGTGTGTGTGTGTGTGTGTGTGTGTGTGTGTGTGTGTGTGTGTGTGTGTGTGTGTGTGTGTGTGTGTGTGTGTGTGTGTGTGTGTGTGTGTGTGTGTGTGTGTGTGTGTGTGTGTGTGTGTGTGTGTGTGTGTGTGTAAGTGGGAGTGACTGAAGTCTTCGGGGTGAGAGAGGATGAGGGTGGGCCCGGCCTCCAGCTCCAGAGTCATAGAGAGGAAAACCCTCCCACAGGAAACCAGTGCTCCGCTCCACATGGCCTTTTAAGGTAAAAAACTCCCCAAAACTCTCCTCACTGGGGAGTAGGGCTAAGATATAGCCACATTTAAAGCTACAGAGGAAGAGAGAGTGCTGGGAAAAGCAGGGTGGAAGTCTGTGAGTGAGGAAAGACTTCATGAAATGTTAAACCAAATTCAAATACTTTAAATCAAGAAGGAAAAGTCTCCCTGTTTTTGTAAATGAATCATGTATTCAAAGTGTAGCCAAAGTGTTGTTAGCTTCAACTCACATTTTCATACCATTTCACTATCAGGGTATTTATGACTAAAGGCACACATTCTTCTGGTCATGACGGTATCTTTATGAGATGATAAATATTCACAGAGTCTCTGAGTCATTAAGTGGAGAGGAGTGTGGGAAACAGACCAAATGCATTTCTTCCACATGGGAAAATCAACTGTTATTTAAAGTGTAAACAAGAGATGCATCTACACTAAGGGAAATGTTTGTGTATTATCAAGAGAGTTACACAAGTTCCTATAGGTCATTGTCTCCTTTAGTAGATTAGATTGTTCCATTTAAAGTGAGCTTAAGGAAGAAGTTGTTAATATATGTAAAAGCTTGACAACACTGAATTGTTGGGGACGTCTAAACAAGTTACTCAAATCCGAAATGTGTTTAAGTTGAACTGTCTTTGTCTCCTTTGTCATGTGTCTGTGTTTGTCGTATCGTATAATTTTTTGCCCAATGTTTAGACTGATGAAACATGTGTGGTTTTGGGGGTATTTGGTTAGTGTGAAGGTTTTTTTTAGCATGTGAATGTCTCTGTATAATACATACATTTCTCTCGTCTCAGGGTTAAGGAAGTCAGGACCAAAAAGGCAGAATTAAAGAGGGTAGACCGGTATAAAAGTACAAACAAAAGTGAGCGTTGTTAAATTAAAGCTGGGACAAAAAACTGGAGGAGCAGGCAAGGAAAGGACGGTATAGCAAAATAAAACGAGGAACAAACCGAGAAGACATGAGCTGCATCTCACTTCGGTTAAATTGATTCCTTGCGTCCCTCACTTGCGTCGTTTCCCTGCGACTAGTCCCTCCCACCAGGGAAGCATGGAGAGACGCAAGGAAACCACGAGAAGCAGGGATATTAGTTTTAAGAGCAATGGGACGGAGCGTCACGTGAAGCGACGTCCGTTTGTGATGACCCCGCACAGCTGATCGTCTGACAGCAGCCAGATCAGTGCATGCGCTGCATCGTCCAATCAGTGAGCGATACACAGTAAGGGGGCGGGGCGAGTGTCTGAGGATTTCACCGGAGGATGGTCTGGTAGTTCCTCGATTATCGCTCCTCCGTTATCGATCCTCCGGCACAAATAAGGCCACTGGGACGCTACTCAAGATGGCGCAGACAAATCAAAAATGAAAAATAAGAGAAGTGAGACGCACCCTTGGAGAACTCAGGAGAAAATCTAAGAGAGAGCCAGAGAATCAGGAACTGCACATCATTGACTATAAATTGACAGTGAACACAAGGGAAGAGAGGGATATGACAAAACTAATCACAAAGACAACACACAGCTGGAGAAGGCAGGACAAACTCAAGGACAGCAGGTGAACACCATGAGACAATCACTGCCCTATTACTTGTAAAGGGACCTTGGGTCTCTTGAAAGGCGCTATATAAATCCAAGCTATTATTATTATTATTACTGAGGCGGGAAAAACAAAGATAGGAAGTAAAACAAGACACAAGGAAGGCATTTCAAAAATAAAACAGGAAACCAAAACTAAGATCATGACATTAGTAAGATATATTCTAAATACTTGCTGTTTAGTGTCTGGGCCGTTTTAAAGCTTCAGATCGCTTATTATGGAGTCACATGACATATGTCTGTGAGATCTGTGCTCTTCCAAAAACAACCACCGTAGGTACTATTTATACGCCGAAAACGGAAATAATCTCCTTACCATCCATCAAACTACTGGACGTAGATTCTGAAAGTAAAATATACACTTCTCGCTAGAAATGTAATGAAAAAAACGTTATAAAGTAACTATCCTACAATTTCGGATTTTCACTGAAAAAAAGTTGGGTGTTTTTTAGTTTTCACTACGGGAATGTTCACGATCACGTGACATTGGCAGACTGTCCGCTTCCATGAAAAACGACTCGGTTGGTCGTATTAGATCGGAAGAATCAACCTATTTAGTCGTATGGAGGACTTGTTATGTCTTGTGATTGTTCTTGTATTCTTAGCTCTTTGTGAATAAAATGACTTGAATGAAATGAGCTTTGTGGGACATGACTGTATTCTGCTGTTGGAGACATGTCACACAAGACATGTAATCATGTACAAACATTTAGGTGTTACACAAGGATAGTTTTATATCATTACCTGCGATCTGTAACACTCCTGATGACTTGTTGAGGAAGTCCAGAGAGAAGTTTGAGCAGCTCAAACTCCAGGGATAGTAAAATCGGTCTGAAGTCCAGACTGAAATATCGAAACAACAATTTGATGGATTTCCATGAAATGTAATACCGACATTCATGGTTCCCAGAGGATGAAGCGTACTGACTTGAGTGATTCTCCGAGTTCTCTGCAGACATTCACGGCCCCCTCAGGATGAGATGACGTGAGGCACTGCGTTGGCCTAACCTGTGCTTGTAGACATTCCTGGAGGATTATTTTGTAACGTGAAAGTTGTGTGCCGCTTCGCTCAAGATTCCTGCAAGAAATGAGAAAATAATTGTGATAATTTTACAGAGTTGTGAAATCTTGATTGGTTTGAACCCCTTTGCAGCGTTTTGGCATCTGTGAAGCCTTCAATTTCATGGATCTGTTACTCAAAGTGGACGTCCTGGATCGAATTTCATGTCTCACCGGTGCCTGAAGCAACATCCCCCACATCCAGGCCTTGTGTTTAAATAAAACTGGAAAACATGTATAGTTATATTTACTGATGCTGTTCACAAACTGACTGTTATTGGGTTTTTGGCGGGCAGGTTTACACCAAAAAGCATATATATACTACAATATCATATACTTGCAGTCTGTGGATTCTCGTGTGTGTGTGTGTGTTACCCTCACAGACTTTATATTGTGTGATTCCTGCCCCAACGAGGCCCTGACAACATGTTAACTCGACCCTCGTTTCCCTTTATTGCCTCTATCACTACCAAACAATGTGTGTGTGTGTGTGTGTGTGTGTGTGTGTGTGTGTGTGTGTGTGTGTGTGTGTGTGTGTGTGTGTGTGTGTGTGTGTGTGTGTGTGTGTGTGTGTGTGTGTGTGTGTGTGTGTGTGTGCGTTGGTGCTGCCTCATCTTGCCCTCGGTTATCTGGCCTATCATTTGCCTCTCTGGCATTGTTCACAGAGTATGTGTAAATAAAGTTCCCTGTGGTTGAATGGCTGTAATGAGAGCCTGTCCAGCTCCAGTTATTCAGAGTGTTTATCACCTCATCACACTCATTCATGAGAAAGAGGGGCTGACAGGGAGAGAGGAAGGAGAGGAGGGCAAACATACAGTAGACCTTTCCTAGTGGCGCCGGAGAGAGAGGACTGAAAGCAAGAAATGAAAAAAGAAAAAAATGTCTGGGATCTCGTGTGTTGAATTAGAAGAGAGGGCTATTGAAATCATAATGAATCAAATGTGTTCAGATCTTGTTGTTTATTGTAGTATTTATTGCATGATGTCACACTCAGATATGTATGTATTGCCTTTTAAGCCCTGCACATGGGATGTATTGGGATAACTATATGAGATGTTCTTATTTCTGTTTAATTACCTGAAACTAAGAGTTGTGTTTTGGTTACATCAGAATTAGCCCTTTAAATCTAAATAGGGAGTTGGTCCTCTTCCATGGAGTCCACCATGTTGCACCATCATGGTCTACAGTAGCCAAGAGCAAACCAAACGTTTGTTCTAGAGCAGGGGTGTAAAACTCAAGGCTCGGGGGCCAAATCCGGCCCACGACTTCATTTCATGTGGCCCCGCAAGAGCTTGCAAAGAATATAACATGTTTGTTATACGGTTACATGCCGATTTACAGAAACACATTGCCCATAAACTACATGTCCCACAATGCATCTCAAATTAGACTTTTTTCTCGAAATTTGACTTTTTTTTTTTGTTTTTCCAAAATTTGGCTTTTCTTTTCAAATCATTTTGTGACATTCTCACTGAAGAGACTTGCAATTGTTTGCCCTAGACTTCTGCTTTCAGACGTAGTTAATTATGAAGTTATTACCCTATCCGATTATAATCCAATGCAGAGGCAATAATGTCATATAATACATTATTTTATATATATTAAATATTTTATATATTTATTCTTATGTAGTCTTATATATAAAACTGGCCCTTTGAGTGCAACCATGATGCTAATGCGGCCCGAGTTGAAATTTAGTTTGACAACCCCTAGAGCCTTTTTTGTATTAAATGTCCTAAAGGTCATCGTATGTTCGGAGTGGAAAAGGGAGGGGTTTTCAGTTTCAGTCATCTGCAACCTCACTGCTGCCTCTTCATCCTAAACACTGGTCCTTTATTTCCAAATGGATCAATTATTAATAGAGGTTAAGTGACACTACAGCCAAACTAACAGCTAAAATATCTAACCTCAAAGAATAGTCAATCTGATTTGTATCCAACTGATAGTCAGATAGAAAACACAGGTCTTTGTACATGTTACTGCTAAACAACCCGCACACTTGAAGTTATATGATGTTATGAAGTTGATTTGGTAAATGAGTTACTGCTTATGGAGATCTAAGTCCAATTGTCACTTTCCTTTTGCTTGTGTTTTCACCAGCTCCTGAGAAAGATGTGTTTCTCCTTCGCTGCAAAATGCTCCGCTTTCTTCATCAGTATATCGCTAACTGTATTTGCTAATTGTATCTGTTGTTTGTTGGGTTCATCTGAGCTTCTCACTGAAAACAGCTGTCTGCTGTGGCAGGAAAACAAACAGTAAAGTTCAGGCCATAAAAAACAAGACAATTAGCTAAAACAGGCTGTAAAGCTTTATAAATCTGAGGGGAACTGTAAAGTTGGCTAGTATTATCTGCGTGTTTGTCACTGCGAGCAACTTCTTTCACCTCACATTGCCTGCATTAAAACACTGATAAAGGCAGAAGTGAAGTGCATACTGAAAACTCCATGTGCATGTATAAATATACTTCCCAGAATGTACTTTATAGTTTATGTACACAGTGTTAAAATAGACCTCATGTCTTTTTAAAAGGTAGTATTCAAGGACAAAGCTGTTAGCAGTTTAACAAAGCAGCAAGGTTATCTAAATGCTGCACTTAAGAGCCCATGCAGGAAGAATGCGCATGACGTTACCCGCAGCCTTTCTGCTGATATGCTGCTGATATCTACCAGCATAGCCAGCGCCGCTGCTGCCAAAGGTCACTGTATGTGCGATGAACAACCTTCCTGGCTTAGAAATGAAACAAAAAGAAAATCGTGAAGTGTTGCAGAGAGCATGTGAGGACTGTGAGAGAATCATCTGCTGAAGGCAGTCGTTAAATCTCACATGAAATGGATCAAATCAAACAGCTGTTTAACATTTTCAACAGCCTTCATCCAGATTCTTAATGTAAGTCCCGCTGGGCTGAACTTCAAGAAAAGAGATGTTTTTTATGTAGAATATTTCAACAACAAGGCAATTCAAAGTGCTTCACAAAAGAAAACCGATTACATCAACAGAAACACAATATAAAACTACCTAAAATATCATTTCGACATGTCTCTAACACACTATTGACCGAAAAGGAGCAGGGAGAAGAAAATAATCTTATATGACCTGCCCCTTTCTTAAAAAAAAAACTAAATAAATAGAAATAGATGGTCTGTCCTTCATATTTTCTTATTCACAGCCAGACATAACAGTATAGTAGGATAATAAGAGAAACACAAAAACTTACTCCAAAAAAAACGTAGTTCCCACTTGACAGTTAAAGGTGGATAGGTAATTTTGGAGAAACCGGCTAGAGTGCGCTAGAATTAGAAAATACACAGCCGGAAAAAACCTTTCTCCTCCAACACACACGAACGCGCACATGACTAATTCACGAGATGAGTTTGTGCACAGATGGAAGGCTGACAGGCAGGTAGGCCATCCAGTTATTTTAGCCGGGCCGGCTCAGATGATTGGTCGTGCTTTTTACAGCGCCACGGCTTCCAGAGATGACATTTTTGTATAGCACTTAAGATATTCATTGCTATCGGGATGTTCAGAGCATTCCATGGAATATAACAAAAAGTGTATCTCGAGCCGGTTTCTCAAACGTACCTACCCCACCTTTAATGGAAAGAAAAAAAACAAAAAAATAACAACATCAAAACATCACAAAATAGTTATTAAAAGGAGGGAACTTTGGGATTTTACCCTTTGCCGACCATTTACATGCACAATGACCTTCATAACACTCCCCAAAAAGCATAATAGGGCCCCTTTAAAAATTGCAGCAGACTTCTGGGAGTTCAAGATGCACTCTCGTCAACCCTGGCACCTCATCCAAAACACTGCCTTGACTTATACCTCCTAACCCCCCCTATCGTGTTCCCTCTACTGGCTGCTCAGTCTGAATCCTACGAGAGGAGCTCCCCCAAAACGTGCAGAAGACGAGGTTTCCTCAGCGTTCCTCTGCAGAGCATGGAGTCTATGTGGGACCTGCCCTGCAGCAAACTGGACACCAGCCTCGCCTCAAAAGTTTTACCGCCTGGTTTCCCAATGTTGGACTGAGCTTCATGACACAGCAGTCACTCCCTAACTTCCTCAGTAGAGTTAAAACTCTCCCTGCTGCTCTGTTATCTTTCTGTACCGTCACACTGTTGAAACACATGATTGTAAAATTGTACTCATTGAATTATTGCTAAACTCATGTGTTCATTTTTTCAGTTTGGACATGTCATGTGGCATACTGAATAGTGAAAGAAAGAAGGTTACAAATGCAGATATAAAGTGGGAACAAAAAACTGGCCATCATCATAGTTTAATATATGAGCAAATGAATGACACAATGAATGAAACACTTTCCTAATGCGTTGGGTGGCGCTGCTGACCATACTGTGTGTGTGTGTGTGTGTGTGTGTGTGTGTGTGTGTGTGTGTATGTGTGTGTGTGTGTGTGTGTATGTGTGTGTGTGTGTGTGTGTGTGTGTGGTGTGCGTGTGTGTGCGTGTGTGAGAGCAGATGTGTGTGTCTTCTTGCCTCGCCCACATACTGTTAGACATATGGCTTCATTTAGGGACTAATGGATGGGGTCATTTGTCATTAGCAGTAAAAACAGGACGGACACACACACACGCACACACACACACACACACACACACACACACACACACACACACACACACACACACACACACACACACACACAGATCTTTTTTGAGACGTTTAAATTAACTTGGCTGTTACAATAGATCCTTTATTATCCAATTCTCCCCAAACTTTTTTAGAATTCAGTTTGCTGAGTCCCACCCATTCTCCCTCTATCCCTAGCTGCAGATATTGCTAGTTTCCAGCAGTAGGGGTGTCCCGTTCTTTCCCTCCTTCCTCACTGCTTTTCTAGTCCTTTTGTATCAAAGTGTGTGAGCGACTCCCTCTGCTGGGCTGGCAGATCATCACAACTTTTTTTAGGGCGATGGAAAGGTGGAGCACCAAACAAACCCTGATTGTTCCTTTTAGCATCTTACAAGTTGAATTCATGTATTCATTTATTGAATAGAAGCAATATATACAAAACAAGTTTAGTTAAAGAAATACACAACCCCACAAATTCAGAAGTATCCCAATAATCTGAGAATTGCATCTAAGTGTTTAAAACTCCTCTGTATTTTAAGCACATCTTTTGCTTTGCTTATTTTTTGTCATTAAATGGTCTTACTTTAAAATCAATTATTTTAAGTTTTGCTTTTAAAAATAAATCACAACGGAGAAAACTGTTATTTTCCGTTGTATCTTTGTTTTTCTGCTTGTTTTATTTTTCTATCTGTGTAAATAATATGCTTCTGTTTTGCTTCTTGTTTGTCTGTGATCAAAATATAAAATAGTAGAATTCCTTCGTATTTTTACAGGATGATTAGGGGTATGATTACATTACATTCAAGATTTCAACAAAAAATACTTAAATGAGATAATATATGTGTCAAACTCAAGGCCCGGGGGCCAAATCAGGCCCTTGGTGGATTTAATTTCGGCCCGCAGGATAATGTTTGATTACTATTAGATCTGGCCCGCCGGTATATTGCACGCACACCTTCACTCCATCCTGAGGGTCTCCTCAGCTCAGAGCCTGACCCCAAACATTGATGACCTTGCACCCAAGATGAGATGCCAAGTATCTGAACTAGCATCACAGAGCAGCACACTGAGTTCAATGGATGCTTCCTTCTGCACTTTCTCTCTCACGACAACAGGGCATGTTTGGTTTTCTCTTTGAGGGAAATAGTTTTGTTGAAGCTGTTGTTGGCCTGTGGAAAAATGTAATCATAAGAAATGAGTCTGGAAAAGCTGCAGATAGAGCCATAAGAAATGAATGCAACTGATTATTTAATATTTAATGTTAAATAATAGACAATAATTTAAGCATTGTTAGTTCCAGGTTTAATATGTGCAATAAGTTCATTTCAATACGTTTTGCAATAAACATTGAACCAGTCCGGCCCTCGATAGTACCCATTTTTTTTATTTTGGCCCACTGTGTATTTGAGTTTGATTAATGGAAGAAATAAAAAAAAGGATATATTTAAATAAAATAGATATATATATCAAAGAACAACAGAGTTAATGAAAATGGTTCTCGTTAACTTATATCTAAAAAATATTTAAAAAATATATTTAAAAAATATTGATAAAAAAAAAGTGGGGGGGTCTGAGCTCATGCAGGACCCGGCAGCTACTGCCTAAACTAAATACTGCCGTGATGAAACGCCATATCATGGATTATCAAGGATTCTCTCTGAAACAGTATGGAGCTCAAAGGCTTTCTCTCTTGCCGGTTATACCACAAGGTGAGTTCCTTTTTACTTCCTGCTTCTTCACACACATGCTCTCCAGTACAGGTTAGCTCTGAGTGTTAGCGATGCTAATGTAAACACCGACCATATTACGTCCAAAACAGTCGGGCATTGTTTCTGATAGCAACGTTTCTGATTGGGCCGTGGGTCCACATTTCAGATATTACGTCATATTGGACTCAAATCTGGATCAGTTTTATTTTCTGACGCTGCGTGAGTTCCCTGACACACCGGGGACACATATTAATGTATGAAAGACATCAAAAAGTGCATTTTGCATGATAGGTCCCCTTTAAGTTAAATATCAGTTTTATTTCTATATGATTTTGGCCGCTACAATGACAAACCCCCTGATCCAACCAACCCACATGCCTCTCCCCCCAGACTGACACAAACACACCCACAACGGGGTTTCTACGTTCAAATAATATTACATATATTGCATATTTTCCATTAGTACAGGGTAGGGGCTTCTTTACCTTTCCAGTTTTGCTATATCAGTTCCTCATAGATGAATGATGCATGAATGATTTGCCATCAGCTGGGTATCTGATTTTATGTCCGACAAAATAGTTGAATTCCATCAGGCTGCTTCGATCAAATGTGTTAAATCCCATGCCATTGTGTATTTTGGTTTATTGTTGTCATTGCTATTACTGTAATGGTCTTTTTATGTTATTCTCATTATTGTTTTGTCATCTTCTTTGTATTTCTTTAATATATAGCAGCTGCATTTGTACTCTGTATTTTCTCCTGTTATTGTGTTATGTGTGGGAAAAGCCAATAAATAAAGTATTTAAAAAATAAAAGAATTGTTAAATCCAGATTACGACACATTTGTATAGCATCTTTTAAAGCTGTTTGTCACGGCTGGAGGGCAAGGTACATAGGACCCAAATGCAGAAGATTGTTTGAAATCCAAAATACTTTTATTGCGGAACTAGACCAAGCAACAAAGTAAAATAAGGCAAGACAAAACGTAAAAATCCCTCAGAACAAAATCCTTCCAGCAACATTGTTAGAACTCAGGCACTTAGGAGGTAGGACCCAATTGCACGACCCGGCAGACAGAGGTAAAGTATTGGTAGGATACTTTATTTTCCAAAATACAGCACAAAATGGTCAATAACTAATCTCAGATGACAAAAATTGAGAACAAAATCATAATCGCTCACGTGGTGAGGAACAAAACTTTTCTAGAGCACAAAAGAGCATAGACCTGACTAAGGCAAAAGACAAGGAGCATCGACCTGACCATGACCATAGAAAAAAGAACTGACACTGAACAGTGGGAGACCACTGGGAGACAGGGGAATTTAAACACAGGGTAACAAGACACAGGTGGGAACAATCAGGGGCGGGGCTGACACTGATGAGCACAGGAGACACACAAGGGGTGACAGGTGAAAACAATCAGGAAATTAGACACACCAGGGAAACTAACGACAGACATGAAAACACAGGGGAAAAGACCAGACAATACACAGGGAGGAAAACATGACAAGGAGACAAGCAAAACACCCACTACCAGACACACAAAATGAAAACGTGACACAACACAAGAATCGTGACAAACATCAAGAATCTCACAAAGACTTACAGAAAAAGCAGAACCTAAATGCACACAGGACTAATCAAACAAACAAGACACAGGTGAGGAGGGAGGAGAAAACACAGGGGCACCAGGTGAACACAATCAGGTAATCAGGCAGGAGGTGAACACTTTTCAAACTGAAACAGGAAAACAAAGACAGATTTAGACAGGACAAAATAAAATATAGACAGATCGTGACACTGTTTAGATGGCATTAAACTGTATGTAGGTGAAATGTCAGTGGAAATCAGGGCAGGCGGGTTTTGATTCATAAAAATCAACAAAAGGGCAAAATTATCTAGTTAATACTGGCAGTAAAATCAATCTTCCTACTCCATCAGAAACAACTGTTGCGTCAGTGGATCAAAGTTTTATTGACTCTGAGCAGAGTCGTGTACTCCATCGTGTGGGCAGATGTTTTTATTGCACAATTGTAAACTCTCTTTTGGTATAAACAAATACACATAGGTCAATATTTTTACTACTGCTTTACTATTACTATTGGTTTTGTCAACAAAAAAGAAGTCAAAATGACGTTTTGACTTCATCTTTGTATAGACAACATCTTTTAAAAGCATGTATTTCATTTGGAAACACAGGATGTATTTGGACACATTGTCATTTCCTTTTTTTCAAATAGCAAAAAAAGAAAGTCAAATATTTAAACATGACACCGTCCTTCAACTCCACGCGTGTCAAGGTTTGTGGATGTGTTCTTTTTTTCATTTCAGAGCCATATCAAAGACAGTTGTTCCAGTATATTTGCGAGAGACTGTTCTCTGCTCGTTCTTTAACCTTCAGTGTCTGAGTGTTGTTGTGGGTAAGGTAATGACCCTGGGCCAAAGATTGCAAAGTATAAGATTTAAACACGATGGGGGTGTGTGCTCAGCCTTTGGAGTATTCTCCGTCTAGTAAGATAGTGAGAGATTTGAGAAAGTGCCGTATGCAGCGTTTACATGTTCACCAAGTATCAACAACAGTGATTGTGTCACGAACGAGCTGAGAACCAAAATGCAACACACGGGAAACCAGGGAGAGTCGGTGAGCAGCTTTGTTATAAAGTGTCTCACTTGAAAAGTTCTGACATGAGATAAACCGGCTGACAGTAGGCAAAGGGCTGGTCGGGGACAGGCGAGGGTTCCAGGAGTAGGCAAGACGGGAGACGCAGGTACAGGCAGGGTCAGGAAACAGGCGAAGCAGGCTGGACAGGGACAGACAAGGTCGAAACCGGGAGAGCAATCTGGGAGGTAATGCGGGAAAGAACTGCATGCTGCGAAGTACGATCTGGCACTGAGGTGAGAATGAAGGGGGCCTATAACCTAGTGGAGCTAATGGGTGTAACAAAGTGTGAGAGAGAAACAGGGTGTGACTACCAGGTGATTAAGGCCGCTACACACCAACCTGAGACCAAAGAACGCGTACCGAAGGCGTCCCGACTTTTACGTCCGCTACGCCGCCCGCCTACGCCGCCCGCCCACGAACACTCCGCAAAGACTTCAGTCGACGAGTGGCAATAACTGTCCTTACCAGCAGGCAGCGGTAGTGTGTATTCATCATTCAAAAGAGGCAACAGCCAATCAGAGTGATTTCTTTGGCCGACTTTCTTTGGCCGATTCAACAGCGCGGGAGGTGTGAAAATATGCCGTAAAGCAACGACGGTGCGGGACACACCAACCTGAGTAGGGCGCCGCGAATGCCCGACTGCCTCTGACGGCCTCTGACTCCCAAAATCGAGTAGGTGTGTCAGGGCCTTAAGGTGACTGAGAAATGCTAATGCAGAAAATAGGTAAGTGAGGGAGCAGACTGTGACAGATTGCAAATCATCCTGACTTGATCCACTTATATCAACATAATTAAGAAAGGCAAACTTCATACTGTTATTGGTGAAAGTGAGTAGACACAAAAAACTGAAAAAACACGAAACAAAGACAACAAATCATAGTAAAGGAAATCATTATGAAGATATGCATACACAAAACAGCAATCAAACAAGAAAATTAAACTGTGAATGACTGAATAATCCCTGAAACTCCATGTTTTTTATGTTTCATTTTTAAATACTGTCTCTAGAGGGAAGCATTGCATTGCAAGAGGAATAAGGAAAGGCTTCCTGTCCGCGCCTGAGAGTATACACCTGTGTATCTTATTTAAACAAATAAAAAGATTTAAATGACTACCAAATGTATATTGTTAACTGCAGAATCAAATTAAAAGTCATGTACTTTTCTGCACTCAACATCCACAAATATTAAAACAAAATACTTATTCTGGACAATAATGCACTCAAATGGCCAGTTTTATATATAAGACTATATAAAAATTCATATATAAATATTTAATATAAAATAATGTATTATATTACATTATTGCCTCTGCATTGGATTTTTATCGGACAGGGTAATAACTTCATAATGAACTACGTCTGAAAGCAGAAGTCTGGGGCAAATAATTGCAAGTCTCTTCAGTGAGAATTTCAAAAGTGAAATTTTGACAAAAGGCATATTTTGAAATGCATTGTGGGACATGTAGTTTATGGGCAACGTACTTCTGTAAATCGCAATGTAACCGTATAATAAACATATTATAATCTTTGCAAGCTCTTGTGGGGCCGCATGAAATGAAGTCATGGGCCGGATTTGGCCCCCGGGCCTTGAGTTTGACACCCAAACCAAACAGCCAATAGATGATTGGTACGATATCATTTATGAATTCTTTGTAATGGAAAGAATAACCTTCTCTTTGAGGCTCCAGGAACTTACATTTGAGGACATTTGGTTGAAATGGAAAGTATATATTACCCCGATACGCCCTTCTTTTGTTTAACTGTTTGAATCTTTTATTTAATGATCTATACTGCCAATGTTTTATATTGAAAAGAAAACACCCCATGTTCTTGTGTGCTTATTGTTGTTGTTTTGTTAAGAAAAAGACGGACCACTCTGTCAAACTATTTAACTACATCTATATTTACGTATATAACCATGACTTGCTTAGATTTATGATATCAAACTAATTGTTTCCACAATATTCTATTCATATTTTCTCCAACATTTTGTTAAGATGTTTTATTTATATCTGGATCTAAAATGCGTGATCATGTTGAAATATTTTGACAGTTCTTAAACACAAATAGTTTAAAAGTGCCCACCGTCATGTATTTGATTTGAATCTAAAAGAATAACATGATGGACAAACATGGCCTTAGTTTTCTGAAGATCTCCGCTGTCAGACCGAGGCATTGATAACGAGACAGGGATGGATGGCAGCGCCCTCATCAGTTCATCTCAGATCTGTGTCGAAGCCTTGAACACAATGCACTCATTATGGAGAGAGAGACACAGACTGGATATTGTGCGCTGCCCGGGTTTGTAGAAAGGGAAGCTTGCAGCCCTTTGTGAAGTGGGTCAAGTCTATGAAGGGGTTACCAGTTGGCTATGTCAGCAGAATGATGTGATTTCATAATTCCCATAGCCTATGAACCTTCAGAGAAACCTGCTGAAGGCCAGCACTCATTACCACGATCCTTTGTCTGGCTCTCAATACTGACACATTTGCGGGGTCAGATTGGATGTTGTGAGTAGTGTTGGTTTGAATTAGCTTCAAAGGGAACCAGAAACCCCTGTGAACACATCGCTGTGAAGCAGTGAGCAAACCTCTCGAGAGATTCACATCCGGGCAAAAATCCCGAAAGGAGAAACGAACATGAATCTTGAACACAGGGGCGAGAATCTAAACGTGGACGTGTTCCCAGAAATGTCAAGATATAGTATTGCAGTCTGCAAATAATTGTACATGCATGTGAGAGTTTGCCATTCTTGTAACAAGACCTGAGTTCCAAGCATTTTGGAAACACTTGGGAAATGAGCAGATTTAACTTCTGAATGCTTCCTCTGTCAAGATCCTGGCTATGTAAAGTGCTTAAGAAAAGAAAAGCATGTTTGTATAAACATGAGGGTTTCTCAAGAAAAAGCACTCTCCGTCTAAAGTCAACGTCCTAGAGTAACCTTTCCAGACTTTAAATAAAGATAATTACAGGAGTAATACATATTTTACAAGAGCTCTTCAGGAGAAGTGCAGATGTTCCTGCTCAATTGCACCTTTCCATGACATCTTCATTTTATTGTTATGTTGTCTTTGGATGGGATCACATGCAAAACCTCAAAAATACCTTATTCAAATGCTTAAATCGCTTAGGGGTGAAAGAAGTACAGTAGCAAGTTGGTCGACCTCCACATTGGAAAGTAGGGTGTTGTGAGATCTCTCAGATTAGAATAATAGAGCAAGGTGACATTTTTTGCAAACAGGTGAATGTTATGGATGTTCTAGTTCACATGTTTAACAGTTTTAGGGCCTGTGGTGTGTGTGTGTGTGTGTGTGTGTGTGTGTGTGTGTGTGTGTGTGTGTGTGTGTGTGTGTGTGTGTGTGTGTGGTGTGTGTGTGTGTGTGTGTGTGTGTGTGTGTGTGTGTGTGTGTGTGTGTGTGTGTGTGTGTGTGTGTGTGTGTGTGTGTGTGTGTGTGTGTGTGTGCATATTTGCCTGTACCCGTGGGTGTGACGTCACCGCTTGGATCCGGGTGATCCTTTCTCAGCCAATCGGTGTGGAGCAAGAGGTGGTCAGAGGGTGATTAAAGGACAGGGGGGGGGGGGGGCTGTAACCCATTGTGACCTGAGGGCTGAGGCCATGAGTCAGACGTTTATATGTTGTCTGTAGTAGAGTCTCAGGCCAGGAAGCTGTCGGTGACATCTGCTGCTGGACGTGACCCAACCTGAGAGAGCTGTTATTGATCGGGGTGTTAAGTCATCGCTTTAACCACAGTCAGGTCAAATGAATGAAATATAAATCCCCTGAAACCTCCTTCAAGATCAGAGTTGTAAAACTTCAGAAATGAAATGAAAACGACTTATTAAAGGTCCCATGTCATGGCCATTTCTACTGATCATAATTCCATTGTTGAGGTCTACTAAAATAGATTTATATTGTTCAATGTTCCAAACTCACATTGGTTTCTCATACAGCATCTCTGTATAGTATGTGTATTCACTCTCTGTCCTAAACGGCTTGTTGCAGCTCCTGCCCCCCCCCTCCCTGTGAGCCCAGTGGCCGTCTGCGAGACACCGCGGAACTCAGCCTGGGCACACACACACCCGCAGCCTGGCTGGGAGTTTGTGTGTGTGCTCAGGCTGAGTTCCACGGTGTCTCGCTGTCTCGTCAACCCCACACCAGTGAGCCAGCTCACACTGTCCCGCTCCTCGCAGCAGCGAGCCTCGCAACGTCCCGCCGAGTGTGTGAGGAAGTCCGTGGATTGGTCCAAATGTAACGGCTCTGCGGACGTTACGTTACGTCACTATACCCGAAATACGTCACTAAACCCAAGAAGTAAACAATGGAAAAAGAGAAATGTCCAACGAGGCGTTCTGGGGCAGCATAGACAGGTCTTTTCTGTGTTAGAGTTTTACTCGCTACAGGGTACTTTGAGGGTTTGTGACTCTGCAGACCGTTTACATGCAGAAAAAGCTACATAGCTACAAGGGGACGAGTAATAACCTGAAAAGCATGACATGGGACCTTTAAATGTTTTATGCTTTTACTGGACATTTATGATTATTGTGGTATCGTAAAATACCGTAATAAAGTATACGTTTTCATTTAATCTGTACACATACAGTCGAAGGGGTTTACTCGTTTGACATGATTTACTTGCAGCACATAGTCCTAAACTATCATCATCCACTGGCTTCTTCTTAAGCCTTGGCTGATTCCAGGGGAAATGTACAAGCTAAATTATAGAGTTGGTTATCTGCCTGTTAACATATCTGCCTGGCTCTCTATCTCAGCAGTAAAAAGAAACATCTTTAAGACTATAGACTTCTTGAGATATTTATGATTCTGATAATTTTACAGTCAGTGATTCGCTACAGTTCAGTGAGTTGTTGGACTCCTGTGGAGGAAAAGTTTGCTGTCAGCACATTTGAAACTTTCTCTCTGCAGTTTCTAAGCTGTAAATATTGAATATATGTTAAGAGGTCATTGACCTATTTTAGCATACACTTCTGGATATGTGTGCATGTTCAGAAACCATCCATTTCTTATGCAACACAGATTGGTGGAATGATAACACTGATACAGATAAAGATAACTTATCTATTGCTTACTTGGATTTCACATTCAGGAAACTGTTGCAATTCCTCCATGCAGAAATAGAAAAACCTTTGTGTTACTTTACCTAATTTCCAGGTCAAATTGTGTCCCATTTCCCTCTTGAGAAGTTGTTGTTCCTCAAAACTACCTAAAACTGTCACACTTTGTTTAAAATGAGCCCACATAATACCTTTGGCACAGTGTGAGTCATAGTAATAATTACTTCCTTCTCATATTTGGAACCATTTTAAGACTTTCTCTACCACACACCGGTCTATATTAAGACCGGAGGGACGATTTTTTTTCTTTATCAGGAAATAAAAGTAATTCAAGTTCAAAATGTGGCATTTAATATCAATGACGTGTTATTGGAAATCATTTGACTGCTTGGTCAAGGGTTAGGGTTATGGTTAGGGTTAAAAAGTGGCAAAACATTGATACAAACATACATGGTCTCCACTGGATGAAAACTAACCACGTTGAGGATCCCTAGAAGTTGTACTTGGACATATGTGATACATGCAAACTAACATGCTAACTACATGCTAATGTATTTAGCCTAAAGCAAAGCTGGAACCACTTGGCTGTAGCTTTAAAATACATATATTGTCTGCTTGTTGTTGTAATAACTACTGTATGGTACACTGACCACATTTCTGAATGTAATACTTTGGATTATTTTACATTTAGCACTTTTATAGTAAGTACAACTCCAACTCCCAGGCCCTCCCTTTACTGTGCAGAAAACTCATAACATGCTAGCAAACAAGTCTCAATTTGCCTCTCTACTGTCGGTGATCGTATCTCTTTGGCTTCATCTTCCCAAGAGTCACATTCCACTGTGGGAAGACCACAGGAACGAGACTGCTGAAGAGAAAGGTATGGGATGAATAAGAGATACGGGTGTGAGTGCAGGAGGAGAAGGAAAACACAGTGAAAGTAAACAACAACAAACCAAAGAGGAGATCATGGGGTTTCAACACTACTGGCTGCTGCTGCTGCTGCTGGTCGACTGCCACCCACGGATTACAGGTAGTGTGTGTGTGTGTGTGTGTGTGTGTGTGTGTGTGTGTGTGTGTGTGTGTGTGTGTGTGTGTGTGTGTGTGTGTGGTGTGTGTGTGTGTGTGTGTGTGTGTGTGTGTGTGTGTGTGTGTGTGTGTGTGTGTGTGTGTGTGTGTGTGGGTGTGGGTGGGTGTGGGTGTGGGTGTGGGTGTTTATGTTTGCCCTGTCTGAATATTCCTGTCCAGCAACATGAAGTATGGGGGGTTGTTCGAGGATAAAGTAATGTGTGTGTGTGTGTGTGTGTGTGTGTGTGTGTGTGTGTGTGTGTGTGTGTGTGTGTGTGTGTTTTGGGTGGACTGGCCTCTTCTGTGTTCAGACATGCCTCACCCTGTCCTCTCAGGAATGCTGCAAAAAAGCGGCCCTCATCCAAAAACGTTCAGTGATGTTGGGAAATGTTTGCCTTTTTAAGGATTGATAATCACGTTTTCTTTTCAGAATTCAGAAATCCTTTTTAATTATTTGGAAGAACCGAACTTTACCTCAGAAAAGGGACAGTGCAGATGTTAAATAAGTGTGTTAAAATATTAAATTAAAGAGGCAAACATGCTCGTTAAAGTGTATGACAACACAACGATGAAAAAATATGTAGCAGCATAATAAAGTACTGACCTCCCAGTGAGTAATAACGATAATTATCACTAAAAAGTATACATTGCACATGAGCTGTGTTAACACTACTAGTGTGATTCACTCAGGAGGGGCACAAGTAATACAGTAATAACAGCTTGTACAGGATAGTGCACGTCTCTAGATCTTTATCCAGTTAGTCAGCACTTTCACATTCAACACTCATAGATTACAGATTAGGCAATCCATGTTGGTCTGACGGTGGACATTTTAGGTCAGTCTGAAAAGTGGAACCATAACCCACATGTTTTACAGACAAATGAACCGATTGCTTCTTCAATACAGCTTTGACATATGCTAAATTTAACACATCAACATCAAGTGTGTATTTTTCATTTGCAACAATAGATTGTTTTGCAGTAAATATTGGAAGTTAAAAGGTTTCAAAGAAAGAATGCAGAATAAATAGGTGGTTCAATCTGAATAAGTGAAGTATTAAAAAAGTTTAACAAGATCATTTGATTATAATTTATTTATTTCATTGTTTATTTGGCAGGGACAATGCACAGTAATGAACACTTAAAACATTAAAATGTATCAAGTGTAACAGTAACAATTGTCCTTAGTTTTTCCCTAACCTTTGATTTAAGATATCCAAAATGACCTAATGCTGTGTATTCATGTTTCAGTTGATTGTTTAATATGTAAGCATACTGAAGATACATTCCTTATTAAGATGAATGCTTCTTGCAATGACTTCAAATCATCTTTTAAATATAATGACATGTCTTTCGCATAAAAGCTGATTTTATGATTCTAGGTTCTGCAGTGATTGCTTAATTAAATAATGGTGAAAGTGGACATTGTGCATGGGTTCTCTATGGTGTGAAGCTCTGTGAAATGACTGCCATGTCTTCCTTTTTTCCAGGTGCCATGAGTAGCATCAGTCCGTATATAAAGCATTACGAGGGCTTGTCATACGACAGGGAGGATCTTCACAGGAAGCACCTGAGAGCCAAGAGAGCCTCACATCCTGAGGAACACACATTACAGCTGGATATTACCGCTTTCAACAGGTAACTATACATATCTCTCCTCTCATAACTGTGGCAAGTGTTTGTAAAGCCCTCCTAAACATAAACAATCTAGCTTAAAGGGGACCTATCATGCAAAATGCACTTTTTGATGTATTTTATACATAAAGATGTGTCCCCGGTGTGTCAGGGAACTCACAAAGTGTCAGGAAATAAAACCCTCTCTCTTTTCCTCCGTACCCAAACCTCTAAAAACGGGGCTACAACGGAGCTGATCCAGATTTGCGTCCGATATGAAGTAATGTGGACCCACTTCACTATCAGAAAGTTGCTATCAGAAATAATGCCCGACTGTTTTGGACGTAATATGGTCTTTGTTTACATTAGCATCGCTAACACTCAGAGCTAACCTGTACTGGAGAGCATGTGTGTGAAGAAGCAGGATATAAAAAAAGAAACTCACCTTGTGGTAAACCCGTGAGAAAAAAAGCATTTGAGCTCCAGACTGTTTCAGAGATAATCCTTGATGTGACATAGACATGTTTTTTATATATTTGTATATATCTGAGATCTATGCTATTGCCTAAAAATAGCATGATAGGTGACCTTTAATATACAGGTAGGCCTATAGTATTCTTCTGTTTGTACTTCCTGTTCCTAAATCCATGTATCCATTTTTGTATTATAATAACGTGTGTCAACAATGAATGATCCCTAATTGCCTGCTGTTGATATATCTGCATGCCTTTCACTAGCTTTGACCACATCAGTTGTTTTTTTTGTTTTCCTCAGAACTTTCCGTCTGCTTTTGAAACACAATGCAGAAGCTTTTACCGAAAATGTCATGGTGTTCAGGAAAAATGGTTCCACGCCGGCTGACCTCTCCCACTTATACTCAGGAAAACTTGAGGGTAAGTATGGCAGGCATATCTTTAAACAGTTTACCTGTGATTATCTGAATTTACTGGTATTAGGCCCAGTGGCGTAACAAGGTTGTGATTGGCCCCGGTGCAAATATTGTTTTGGGCCCCCCTCCTATCGCCCCAAACATAAGAAAAATGCGCTCACACACGCACGGACATACACAACCACTCAGCAACTCAAAACAGCCTGCCCTGGCCTCAAACCACCACAACCTGACAACGGCACAGCGAACTAAGAAGAGGATTACACCTGTTTCCTTGATGTTTTAGTTACGCCACTGATTAGGCCTTTAAACACACAACATCAACAGTTATTTAAAGCCTTTAAGGTTTCGACATCTGTAAAACAGCTGGATAAAACATTTGGATACAAATCTGTTTGTGGTAAAACATTCCTGATTGATTGTTATTATTCGAAGATCAAAGTAAAGCATTTGGAAAGGTCAATTTATTGCTATCTCATATTGCTGTTCTGAGTTTATATCCTCATGGTTGGATGCACTTCTTGTAAGTCACTTTAAATTCAATTTATTATGTCTGTCCGTATGTGAGTTATCTCTGTTTAATTTCACTTCTTTGACCTCAGACATGTTGTCTCTCCTGGTCTTTTAGGAGAACATGGTTCAGCCTGCCATGGCTCGGTGTTACAGGGTCAGTTTGAGGGAACCATCCACACAGAGAACGGCACCTATCATATAGAGCCAATGGAAAGATACACCAGCACCCACACAGACCACCACTCTATCATCTACCACGAGGACGACATGGGTGAGCAACCTTTGGATTTATAGTTACTGTAAGGACCTCGCCTTTTTTGGCACTACCCCTTTTCCCACCTCCAGTTCCAACGCTTATGTCTTATTTCTTTCAGTTTAGCACTAGCAGCAATGTTAATATGGATTATAAGATCGGCTTCACTGCAGTGATCGTATGGTTTCACAATAACAAATACATTGTCTGTTAGTGACTGGCAGGATAACAAATGAAAATGATCTATCTATCTATCTATCTATCTATCTATCTATCTATCTATCTATCTATCTATCTATCTATCTATCTATCTATCTATCTATCTATCTATCTATCTATCTATCTATCTATCTATCTATCTATCTATCTATCTATCTATCTATCTATCTATCTATCTATCTATCTATCTATCTATCTATCTATCTATCTATCTATCTATCTATCTATCTATCTATCTATCTATCTATCTATCTATCCATCTATCCACCCATCTATCTATCTATCTATCTATCTATCTATCTATCTATCTATCTATCTATCTATCTATCTATCTATCTATCTATCTATCTATCCATCCATCTATCTATCTATACCTATCTATCTATCTCTCTCTCTCTCTCTCTCTCTCTCTCTCTATCTATCTCTCTATCTCTCTATCTATCTATTTATTTAGAACTGTGGGGGATGTTAACAGTGTTCGGGCTGAGGCCAAAAGTAGGATAATCCTAGTATGGTGTGACTTTTGAAGGAGAGGGAGTAGAGATTAGGACTGAAGTAAAGGGGAAGGTATGAAGAAGAAGAGGAGGGAGAGGAACGGGTAGCTACTGTCAGGGGTGGTAGAAGTATTAAGATGTCTTTCCCAGAGATGGCAGAAGTACACACATCCTTTACTCAAGTAGAAGTACAGATACTCGTGTTGTCCAGAAGACCTGGCAGAACCTACCCCATCAGCTGTGGCCTGTGCCCGATACTGGCAGAACAACATCTGAGATTGCTACGGACTCGAAGAAGAAGACTCGTGTTTAAAAATACTCTGGTAAAAGTAGAAGTACTGACTAAACTTCTTTACTCAAGTCAAAGTAAAGAGGCTTTGAAATGTACTTCAGTAAAAAGTACCCATAACTAGCAGCTGTTTTAAAGAGTACCTGACCTCCCTTTATATTAATAAAACAATAATGTCATTGTTAGCTAATGAATGTTTCCATGCTTTAGTAAAGTACTGATACCAGAAAAATGTACTTAAGTACAGTAACAAAGTATTTTTACTCCACTACATCCCACCTCTGGTCTTTCCAAAATACTATGGTGGAAACAATTCCTAGTTGATTAGTGATGTCAGTTTGTGCTTTGTCCAGATGGCGGTCATCATCACTGAGTGCCGTCAGATATTGCGTGTGTTGATAATTCCGTGCAGTAGTATTTCTTCCTGTGTGTGTTTCTCTGGCACATTAACAATTGCATGGGAATGTGATTATGTTCCAAGAAAGCATTTTCCTCGAAATTGTTCCGATTGTGCCAAAATCCCATCTGTATTTGTCCTTTAGTCTACACAGACTTGATGGCTGGCTTCCTCCCTACACCTCCTGCTTTTTTAAAAACCCATTCATGACATCCTTTACATGAGATAATGTTGCCGCTGACAACATCCTGACCTTTCATTCACATATCTGCAGGAAACTGTGAATGATTTGGCACGTGATATTTCAATAAACAATCAATGCTTTAGTACAAAAGTTAAAATAGGACACCTTGGGGCTGACATAATGCTTTTACTCCTGAGCGTATTTCCACTTCCTGCGGTTGTTGTGTGATGGCACGGAGGAACTGCACACTGCCAAAACTGCATCCCTCTCCTCTGTCATCATCCTGTTGGACCTGTCTGCTGCATTCGACACGGTGAATCATCAGATCCTCCTTCGCACTCTCCAAAAAACTTGGAGTTTCAGGCTCTGCACTTTCCCTCCTCACCTCATACCTGAAAGACCGTACCTACAGGGTGACTTGGAGAGGGTCTGAGTCCGACCCTTGTCAATTAACTACAGGGGTCCCTCAGGGCTCTGTTCTTGGTCCCCTCCTCTTCTCCCTGTACACAAACTCACTCGGATCAGTCATTAGCCCGCATGGTTTTTCTTACCACTGCTACGCTGATGATACCCAATTAATTCTGTCCTTTCCCCGCTCAGAGACCCAGGTCGTCGCACGCATCTCTGCTTGTCTAGCTGACATCTCTCAGTGGATGTCTGCTCACCACCTCAAGCTCAACCTTGACAAGACTGAACTGCTCTTCCTCCCGGGAAAAGATTGTCCAACTCTTGACCTGACAATCAACATCGGCACCTCAGTTGTTTCCCCGACTCAGACTGCAAGGAATCTGGGTGTGATCCTAGATAACAACCTGTCCTTCACTGCAAACATCGCTGCTACAACCCGTTGCTGCAGATACACGCTTTACAACATCAGGAGGATACGTCCCCAGCTGACACAGAAAGCGACGCAGGTTCTGGTCCAGGCTCTCGTCATCTCACGCCTAGACTACTGCAACTCCCTCCTGGCTGGTCTACCTGCATGTGCCATCCGACCTCTGCAGCTCATCCAGAATGCAGCGGCTCGTCTGGTTTTCAACCTTCCTAAATTCTCCCACACCACTCCGCTCCTCCGCTCCCTTCACTGGCTTCCGGTAACTGCTAGAATCCACTTCAAGACACTGGTACTTGCTTACCATGCTGCGAATGGATCTGGCCCTTCCTACATCCAGGACATGGTTAAACCGTACACCCCAGCGTGTGCACTACGCTCTGCATCAACCAATCGGCTCGCTGCACCCTCGCTGCGAGGGGGACCCAAGTTCCCATCGGCGAAAACACGTGGGTTTGCTGTCCTGGCTCCAAGATGGTGGAATGAGCTCCCCATTGACATCAGGACGGCAGATAGCTTGCACATCTTCCGGCGCAAACTGAAAACTCATCTCTTTCGACTCCACTTCGAGCGATAGAATTATTAACGAAGCACTTATATACTGATAAAGGACTGGCTTATCTAAAGCCAGTTGAGTAGCACTTGAAATGTTTGGCTCTATGAAACCTGATGTACTTATATCATTCTGTTTTCTTCAAGGTTGTGTCTTCCTGGTCGAATGTACTTATTGTAAGTCGCTTTGGATAAAAGCGTCAGCTAAATGCAATGTAATGGCAACAAAGGTTATATAAAGACCCCCCCTCCTCTTTGATGTAGGGTGTTGTGAGGTCTGGAAAATAGAGTACAGCCTGGTGGCTATTTTGCAACAAATGATCACATACAATTACTGTCAGAATCATTAAAACATTACAAAAACGAAAGGTAAGCAGTACCAAAAACTGAAGAACGCCATTATGATGTGGTTCTGATGTAGGAAGGCTGTGGCTCAGTGGGTTAGTGTCCTAGTTAGTGCGCTGTTCTTCGAATCAGACGATAGCAAGTTCAAATCCCACTGCAGTCATCATGTCGTTGTGTCCCTGGGCAAGACACTTCATTAATGTAATGATGTAAGACTTTAACATTAGGTTTTTTCTTAGCACTTCTTAACGTGGCTTGTGTGGTCATTTATTCTTTTATGATTCCTATGATGTTTTGTCAAGCACTTTGTGACTATGTCTGTGAAAAGCACTTTACATTGTACTTACTTTACTTACTTACTTACTTACTTACTTAAAGTTGAGAAGTACAGTAATATCCCTCAATGTGTCACAAATATGAAGATATTATTATTAAAGATTTGATCCTGAAACACTTTTATGTGAGAAATCCAGTTCATTTATTCACATATCAATTATATATTAAGTAACCGCACAAAGAAAAGTAAAGTAAAAGTAGAGTAAAGTTTAGTTTGAAAGGCCCTTTATTCATTTGGCGTCTCTGTCCATATATGTGTGTGTTTTTGTGTGTGTCTGTGTGTTTATGTGACCTTCGCCTAAAAAATACAGCTTAAAAGATTGGTAACTATTAACCTAGTACTTCCTTGAGATAAATCAAGAGTTACACAACAACGGAAAATCACTGGAAACCTCTTAATGGTTAACTCCAGGACTATAAATGTATACAACAAACCGAAAGTGATTGTATACTCAGGAAGTTCTCTAGTAATATCAAGGACATTGTGTGTAAGATTTAAAGCTACAGATACAAAGCTGTAAAAGATTCAGTTTCAATCATATATTTCGTCATGGTATTCTTTGCCACATTAAATTACACAAGCAAGGAGGATTTGAGAAATATCTCTTTGGCTGAACTCTCTGTGTTGCAGCAATGGCTTATCAGTCTTTGCATTATTGCTAAAGAAACAGCTGTTACAGTTGCGTGATTGTCCCTAGACATTAAGAATCAGATTAAGTGGAAAGCTGCTTTATCTCCACAGAGGGGAGGATGCGTGTTGATATGTGGACTACATGAGGCGTAAAATCTGGACTAAACAGAAAATCTCCCACTAAGCGTGTGAACCCTGTTATTTGTTAGATCACTTGAGCCGTGTGCTTAAGTAAATTAGAGGTTCAATCCAAGCAATGGACTGTCATTACTGAAGTGGAGTGCACAGACTCTCATGGGCAGCAGGGAGTGAGTTTCGTGTTAGGTTTAGGGTTATATATTGCACTTGAGCTAGCCAGCTAATAGGGCACTTGAGGGCATTTGGCGAGACCAAAGGGTCATTCTTGGGGCACTTAGGCTGTGACTTAAGGGCGAAAAATGTCCAACTGCAGATTTACTGGTTTAGAAAGAGGCATGTCATCACACTCAATGTGTCGGTCTACAAACATTTCCTGACCCTATGGCATTTGCCCTTTCTACCCTAAAGGCTAACATTTGACATGGGGGTCAAGTGTGCAGGTGTGTGTTTGTGTCAAGCCTATTGGCAAAAAGGGTATGTGGTAGTTTACATTTTTCACAGATTAACGTACAATTGTCAATGAACTGCATATCGTAGACCAGGGGGGCCACAGACAGACACATATATGAAGGGCTGGGCCACTCACTAGAGGTATATCGCCTCATAAGTTCAGTTGTAAGTTAGCAAAATCAATCAAATGTAGGTAAGTGATGCTTGTGAGTGTTGGCAGCTCATCCCTTAAAACAGAAGCCTCAGATTGATTATAATAAGGAAAAATAGGAAGGGTATATTTCAAGCTTGTAAATAAGTCATTGGGCTTTTTTCTTATCAACTAAGATATGTTAGGAAATGTTTCCAACTTTCATTGACTGAATTTATTTGAAAAGTGGTCTTATTTAATTAGCTGAGGGCCGATTCAAAATAGTCCCCGGGCCACATTTGGCCCCCGGGCCGTAGTTTGGACACCCCTGTCGTAGACTGTTGTGCAGCAGCAGGGAATGATAGAGAGTTTGTGTTTGCTTGTACCCATGGGTAGGTGGTCCCAGCTTTTGTACATTTTCTCTTGATTTGAGCGTTTAAGTGATGTCTCGCCCCCAAGAAACCAAACTGCAGAAAGCCCCGATGCAATAATGCATAAATATAATGTTGTGATAAGATAAGGATAAGATAAGAGGTATTTTATTGATGCCAAATTGGGACATGTTTGCATTGTAGAAACATAAAAAACAAAAAAATAAAACATTCCACATAAGTCGAAATTAAAGAAATAAACAATACTAGAATTGAAACATCTCAAAATAGAATTAAAGCAGGATTAAAAAGTAGAAAATATACAGTAGACCGTGATATAGACCATCAAATGAGTGTTGATGATGATTGGGATTGTGTGTTGCTCAAACATATTTGAACAGTGTTAAAGTCAAAGCTGGATTGATATTTAAGAGGCTCTGGCTTTGTGTTTTACATGACTGATGAATTTGCAACTGCTGGGAAATGTGAGTCCGGACTGAAATGTGACACTGATTTTACAATTGGGAAATGCCTCTTCTTCCAGCCTTTCACTGAGAGTTTGGCAGCTAAAGGAGCTTGATTCTTTGCTTTTCAATTGGCAAAGTTGATAATCTTTTGCACATTTGGCAACACAGGCGAGAAACATGAATCATCTTCAGTGTGATTGAGAAGGAGAAGACAGAAACTGAGGCCTAGAGAATGAGAACATGGGCAAGTAGAAAGGTCTGGTATTAATTCCTCCAATGGGTCAGTATTTAGACCCCCACCCCCACTCAGGCCTTGTATAGAATGAAATACTGGGTTGTGATTGGCTGCAGGACCTTTGCAGGATGGTGTGATCCAATCATGTGTTGCTTGTCTCTCACAGTAGGTCCAAGTCAGATCCAGGGGGTTACTATATTGGTGTGAGTGTTTCACATGCACACACACACACACACACACACACACACACACACACACACACACACACACACACACACACACACACACACACACACACACACACACACACACACACACACACACACACACACACACACACACACATTGCATTCCCCCTTGAAGGTCTTTTGGGTCACCAGTTCACTGGCACAGCGTTGCCTGATTCTGTCACTCTCACATTACTATAAACGGCATGTGAAAGTGATTATAAAGTCACGTGACTACTGTAAGTTATCTAATCCAAAGCCCTATTGTTTTTCACATGAATGTAACTGTAATAGTTGCATTTTCTTTAATGAGTCTCATTGTTGTTCACTAGAATTAAGCGATAACCAAAGAGTTTGTGCTGCGTACTCCCCACAGCCTCTGACCATGAACTCACTGCACTCTTTGCATTAAAGTCCTCAGGGCCCCTCTTGCATTTTTGTGAAATGTTGTGGTTGTTCCAGCGCAACACGACGGGCCATTACATGCACATGCAATGCCTCCCTCGGCTGCAATCTAAAAATTATTACAACAATCTGAACGAGGCAGACATCCCAGGGCTGTTGCAAAGCACAGTGAGTGAAATCAAACCAGCAGCTATCACAGCTGTGCCACAGACTGACCTATAGCCCCATTCATCGCTGATTTCCAAATGTGGATCCTGTTTTTATATTAAAAGGTGGCTGAGAATATCAGGATGCTTCTGTCTGGCATGCTGGTCACTAAGGTGCCGATTTAAATGAATTTCAACACTTACTGTATTCAAGGGGCCCTATATCCAGGGTGTCCGCGGGGTCTTAAAAAAGGTCTTGAAATTACATTTGACTTCAGGATTCCTGCATATACCCTGATATTACTCATTTCAGGATATCAGTATGTAGTGTCTCTACTGGGACATGTCTCCATGCTTCAATGTTCAAAAAGCTCTTTATGTTTCTCATACTGCCTGTGCTGAAGCACCTATTTTCACCCTCACTCACAAGTTCTCTGATAAAAAGCTTCTATACCTTTTAGGTCGTTCATTTATTTTTGGCATTCTTCTGCTTTTGAGTTTGTCACAAATTAGGATCGTTCTGCATAGAAAAGTTGATATAGAATTAATAACATTGACTTTTCTATCTTTAATCCTGAAAGTAGTAAACGTTATCCGACAGGAAACAATCCTTTTATCTTCCCTATGACTGTGGTCATAAAGCAATACATGTGACCTTGTGCACCTGTTGAGTAAACAGGAGGAGTCACATGACCCAGCACGTTTACTTCACTTTAAACATGAGACTTGAGACCTTGAAATCTCAAGAAAGACATTTGGAAACATCAGAATAAACCACAAATGCTCTTATTGAAACATCTTGTTTTATTTCAAATCAAATCAAGTTTTATTTATATAGCACATTCAAAAGCAATTTTTGGTCGAGCCAAAGTGCTGTACATGTAATAAAAACACATTACTACAATCACAATAAAAGACAATAATTTACAACAGAAATATAAAAAACACAGGGCAATGTCAGGAGTCGTGCTCCGCTCTGACTAGAAGGCCAGGGAGAAGAAGTGTGTTTTTAGTGTTGATTTAAAAACCCCTAGGGTCTGGGCCGACCTCACATGGAGGGGCAGAGTGTTCCAGAGCCTGGGGCCAGCTGCTGCGAAGGCTCGGTGCCCTCAGGTTTTGAGCCTGGTCTTGGGCACTATTAGCAGCAGTTGGTCAGCAGACCTTAAAGCTCTGGCTGGGGTGTAGCGATGGAGGAGTTCGGCTATATAGGCCAAACAAATAAAAGGATTTAAAAATCAATTCGGAACCGAATTGGAAGCCAGTGCAGTGAGGCCAGAATTGGGGTGGTGTGGTCACGCTTTTTGTGGCCAGTCAGAAGACGTGCAGCTGCGTTTTGGACAAGTTGCAGGCATCTAATTGAGGCCTGGTCCATACCCACATACAGAGCGTTGCAATCTCGAGGTAACAAAGGCGTTAATAACCCTTTCTAGGTCTTTAAAAGATAAATACGACTTGGTCTTGGCGAATAGTCTTATTTTTAAAAAAGCAGGATTTGACTACGGTGCTAACCTGCTTGACGAATTTAAAAGTGCTATTGAAGGTCACTCCAAGGTTCATGACAGAGGGGGGGATGTTTTCATTGAGAGAAAACTTTGAGAGAATACTTTGACATGTATTATCTTGAATTGACCCTTTTTGGCACATTTTCCAACATTTTACTCCAGCATATAGACGCTTCTTGTCGTTAATGCCCCAGGAAACATCTCGTCCCCTGACACAGATAGTTTCTGTAATCCCTGGGCTGTTCCAATATGCATTTCCTTCCCCAATTAATAATCCTTTTTGCACATTTAGTTTCAACACATAAAATAGCGTCCTGTTTGCTCCAACAAACAGGAACATTAGTGGGCACCCAAAGTACCAAACCTTGTGTTTAACATCTGTGTAATTATTTATAGTTATTTGAGAACACGGTGTCATTTGGGTCACTTTGCGCCTACATCAAAGTGAGTCATTGAAAGTGTCTCTCATAGTCAGAACATGTTCAAGGACACAATTACTATTGACAGTGTTTGCTTTCCTGTGGGTTTCACCCTGCATCTGTGTGTGTGACTGAAGTGTTTGGTGTTCTCCTGCAGGGTGACACTCTGCCATCCACATCTCAATACTGTTTAATCAAGGATTTTGTATATAAATCAGCTAATTCAACGTAAAACTCTCAAGTAAGCGTTAGGCAAGGAAAGGCAATGCAAAGTTTATGTATATTGCACTTTTCAACACAAGGCAATTCAAAGTGCTTTACAAAAATGAAAGACATTAAGAGCATAAAACACATTAGAAACATGAAAAAGAAAATATAATAAAACACGAATAACACAGGTACATGAATACAAGTTGCAGTGTGAGATGTGAATAGTTCAATTAAACACTTGAAATTAAACACTTGAAATGTTTTGGCTCAATGAAACCTGATGTACTTATATGATTCTGTTTTCTTCAAGTTTGTATCTTCTTGGTCGAACGCACTTATTGTAAGTCGCTTTGGATAAAAGCGTCACCTAAATGCAATGTAATGTTAAAGTAGCAGCAAAAAGAAAAGTCTTCAGCCTGGATTTAAAAGTAGTGAGAGTTTGTTTGTTTGTCGCCTTTATTTATCCAGATAAAAATCCCATTGAGATCAACGATCTCTTTTACAAGGGAGACCTGCCGCACATTGGTTACACGTGTAACAGAAAACAAAAAGGACACATACAACATAATGACAGGGGGTGCAATTTACAAACGTATTCACAAAGACAGGTACCAGGAGTATCAAATATCAATTCATCAAGCTGTGCTTTGAAATGATGCAGGGGAACCAAAATGCTCATTTTCAATATGTTTTGCAGAGTGTTCCAAGCTAGAGGAGCTGCGCACATAAAAGCTTTAGTGCCTAAAACAGTCCTAGCACTTGGTACATGTAATAAAAACACATCCTGGGATCTTAAGCAATAGCTACTTGCGACTCTCTGTGATTTCAGTGAGCCGATGTAAGGTGGTAGTTTACCCAGCAGCAGTGGACCTGCAGGTTCCTGGGAGTTTGTTCCAGATATTTGACAAGACCCCTAACCAAATTCTCACATTCCTCTACCCCTATAATCTAAGATACCCCTAAGTAAGATATCTTCTCTTTATCCTGAATGTGTGTCTGAGTGTTTCTGTTTGTTTTGTGCAGTCCTTCCTTCCATGAGAACGGACGCTGATGGTTTCTGTGGAGCAGATCATCTGAACGTCCTCGCCCAAAGACTCAGAGCCGACCAGGTATGACAGTTCAGACATCACCTCACAAACACTGACGCACTCTCACTCCTTCTTTCTTTTTCTGTCCTTACCCATAAAAAAGTCCTCCTCTGCAAAAACCCATTTATAGCCAATTAACTCCTAACCCAGAACAGTTTGTCTGATTCACTTGTAACCATAACTGACCTTGTCAATGAGCGTATTCATTTGTTTGGCCACTTTTATTTAGCCTATTGAGTCACCAAGAGCTATATTCAGGATTGATTTGACTTCCAGCACAATGCTATGACAGTAACAAAACATATGTAGACATAGAAAACCAAAAAAGGACGACCTGCATCTTTACAGACTTAAACTTCTTTACCTCCAAACCCAATGACCTTTGCGCTAATTACAGAATAAACATCTGCCAAGTCTATTTAGCTGATTTCCCCCTTGGGTACTCCATTTATCCGTGACTTTTGACCGACTGGGTGGTTTTCCCAGGGTACAGTGTAAACAATGGACGTCGGGACATTAATATGGATCCATTTTTAACAACATAGCTGCCTGTGAAGATACCAGTGTTTGGTAATCAAATGGTCTGAACAGATGTTTGTTTTCAGTACAGCGTCCATGCTGTGTTCCTGTTCCCTTTCCCACTGGGACACGTGGCGACTCATTTTCGACGTATTTTCATAAGCCAGGTTCTTGACCTGCGAAATCAGGATTAATATTAAACCAAATCTCAGTGGAAGGTCAAGTGCATGCTGGGAATTTAGCAGGATTCAAATCTGTCGTATACAGCGAGTCACCTTTAAAATCTGCTCAAGTGTAATTATTTCCTTTTTCGTGTTTCTGCCATTTCTCCTACAGGAGGCGCCAGTGAGCCGGTCGAGGAGAACAGTGGATGAGTCAAAGACCAGCTGCCTGATGCACATTCAGGCAGATCACCTTTACTTCAAGAAGTTCAAGTCTGTAGATGCTGTCGTGGCTCAGGTGAACTCTTCAAAACTGTCTTTAAACACCATTGCATTCTCGAAGATGGTCATGTTTTCGGTTGTGGTTTGTCTGTTTGTCAGCAGGATTACAGAAATGCTACCGGCCCAATATTTATACAACTTGATTTAAAGGTTGAGCATGGGCCAAGAGAGAGCCCAATTCATTTCAGCATCTTCACACATGCTTCACTTTGGTTTACATTGCAAGACAGGGCATTTGTACTAAGAGGACATATTCTGCTGATGTTCAGGTGTATATCAGTATGTAGTGTCTCTACTTTAAAGAGTCCTCTCCTGCTGATGTTCAGGTGTATATCAGTATGTAGTGTCTCTACTTTAAAGAGTCCTCTCCTGCTGATGTTCAGGGTGTATATCAGTATGTAGTGTCTCTACTTTAAAGAGTCCTCTCCTGCTGATGTTCAGGTGTATATCAGTATGTAGTGTCTCTACTTTAAAGAGTCCTCTCCTGCTGATGTTCAGGTGTATATCAGTATGTAGTGTCTCTACTTTAAAGAGTCCTCTCCTGCTGATGTTCAGGTGTATATCAGTATGTAGTGTCTCTACTTTAAAGAGTCATCTCCTGCTGATGTTCAGGTGTATATCAGTATGTAGTGTCTCTACTTTAAAGAGTCCTCTCCTGCTGATGTTCAGGTGTATATCAGTATGTAGTGTCTCTACTTTAAAGAGTCCTCTCCTGCTGATGTTCAGGTGTATATCAGTATGTAGTGTCTCTACTTTAAAGAGTCCTCTCCTGCTGATGTTCCGGTGTATATCAGTATATAGTGTCTCTACTTTAAAGAGTCCTCTCCTGCTGATGTTCAGGTGTATATCAGTAGTGTCTCTACTTTAAAGAGTCCTCTCCTGCTGATGTTCAGGTGTATATCAGTATGTAGTGTCTCTACTTTAAAGAGTCCTCTCCTGCTGATGTTCAGGTGTATATCAGTATGTAGTGTCTCTACTTTAAAGAGTCCTCTCCTGCTGATGTTCAGGTGTATATCAGTATGTAGTGTCTCTACTTTAAAGAGTCCTCTCCTGCTGATGTTCAGGTGTATATCAGTATGTAGTGTCTCTACTTTAAAGAGTCCTCTCCTGCTGATGTTCAGGTGTATATCAGTATGTGTCTCTACTTTAAAGAGTCCTCTCCTGCTGATGTTCAGGTGTATATCAGTATATAGTGTCTCTACTTTAAAGAGTCCTCTCCTGCTGATGTTCAGGTGTATATCAGTATGTGTCTCTACTTTAAAGAGTCCTCTCCTGCTGATGTTTAGGTGTATATCAGTATATAGTGTCTCTACTTTAAAGAGTCCTCTCCTGCTGATGTTCAGGTGTATATCAGTATGTAGTGTCTCTACTTTAAAGAGTCCTCTCCGGCTGATGTTCAGGTGTATATCAGTATAGTGTCTCTACTTTAAAGAGTCCTCTCCTGCTAATGTTCAGGTGTATATCAGTATGTAGTGTCTCTACATGTCTCCATGCTTTAAAGTTCAAAAAGCTCTTTATTTCTCTCATACTGCCTGTGCTGCAGCACCTCTTTTCACCCTCTGTCTGAAACCAGAGCCCAGTCTGCTCTGATTGGTTTGCTGGCCGGCTCTGTTGTGATTGGTCAACCACCAAATCGCGTCCCTTAGCATATCACATACAATGTGTTGTATTGCTATCCAATAGAAGCGCGAGTGTTACAGTGATGTCACTATTTACAGAAGTAAGTGGGAAAATCAATCAAGGAAGAGCCCTATGCATTTAGATTTGAGTTGGACAAAATCATGGGTCGGACCCACAAATTAAATGACCTTTCGCGAAGGTCTGCGTTTTTGAGTATCTTTTCACTGAGACAAGAATGATGTTTCACATGATACACAGAATGTTTGTCTAACCATGGGTTAATCTTTAGCTCAGTATCAGTGCTTCTGACGGAAGTCAAGGGGTTAAGACACCTAAAAAAAACTCAAATATAGATAAAAACTAGAGGTGACTGAGGTTTAAAGTGCAGGCTCTGTGCCCTTATGTTATCCAAACAAAGGAAAGGCTCATGCCAGCTAGAACATGAAGCACTTTGGATGCTGCTGATGTTCCAGAGGACACAATGTACTGCAGAGCTTTTCTGGAACATCAACCGGACTTCCTCCGCTGAACTGAGCGAGCCTAAATCTTTCTCTGAATATGGTGTCCTGTACACGGTGCTGAAATCAAAGTTGACCTGATGTATTTCCCAGTTGTTCAGTCTTATCTTGATAGAAACGAGTGAACAATATGCGAATTACGTCATTTGGCACTAGATCCGTCCTATCTTGTCGTGTTACCAAACAGTGTGCAAGAGAAGGACATTGAACATTTCATTTAATAAGGTTTTAATGGTGAATTCTCCTTTATTCACCTGAACTGACCTTCTGTATTCTGAGCAGTGTGTGACCTCAGTTAGACGGCATTATCGAATGTTCTAGATAAATGTTATCTCTGATTAAAGGAGAGTTTTGGAGGAATGCCAACATTTTGATCATGACCGGAGCTTTTTTTGTTTCGTTTCTAACGACCACATCTTGTGACTATAAGGAAATTAGAGGAAAGCTATTTGTTTTGAGATAGTGCATTATTTGCCAGTGACAGATTCAACAATACTAAATAAAGGGCCGAGCTGTTGAGGCTGAATGAGGCGCCACATGCCAGGGTCTCACACAGCTGCCGGGGAGGTACACAGGGGCACGTTGGGAAAAACCAGACTCTGCCAGGTTTTAAAGGCCTGGTGAATAGCCGTCAGTACTCAAGGTTAAATAAGCAGGACCCGTCACCTCGTGTTCTTCCTTTAGTTACACCCAGCAGATCCAGTATGTACCTTCAGTATGACATCAAAACTCATGTGAGAGAGGAACTCCCTCTGGGGGGAAATTGTGATTTTGGCCTTTTCAGACCATTTACATGCACAAAAACATTTATAACACACTATAGGAGAGGGAGAACCACAAAAAGCATAAAAGGGCCTCTTTAAATATAAAGTACTTGAAAGAATGTACTTTATAACTTGCCACCTCTGAAATTAATGAACTCTGTGAATTATTTGGTGGCTATCATCCTCAATGTCAAACATTTTTAACCCCTTGTCCTGCGCTCTTGACCTTTGACCTTATCAGTGCTGCAAAATGTCACTGAGGAGGGGCCTTGGAGAGAAAATCATTAGTTTGATTTATTCTCCCTTTCAGCACATGTGGAACTGAATTAGTAAATGTGAAGTTGTTTGAGGAGGAATGTTTGATTTCCTGTCTGAGCTGATGTTGGCTGACCTGCGGTGAACTCACCGCGACATTCAGGTCAAGAGCTGCTCTCCCGCCGGCGCGCCTGCATTGCCTCAGTGACATAGGAAAGATAACAGTGATTTACGTGTGTGTGTGTGTGTGTGTGTGTGTGTGTGTGTGTGTGTGTGTGTGTGTGTGTGTGTGTGTGTGTGTGTGTGTGTGTGTGTGTGTGTGTGTGTGTGTTGTCTGTCTGAACAAAGAGTTTCTCAGAGGTCACATGAGATCCTAATATTGAGGTTGGCCACACACTAGGGTTGCGTTCCGATAATCCAAAAATTAGCTCCTAAATTCTAACCCTATCTCCTATTCCTTGACCTCTGAGTGAAACGTCACAGGGTTAAGGGATAGTGGATAGGAGAATTCAAAAGGACTTAGGAGAAGAGACCGCGGTACTTTAGAGAATCCGAATGCACTTTCACTATCCGAGGTGTTATGATGCGCCAGCGGACGTCATGAATGTGCGTCTGCTGCTGTGGGGAAACTATGGAAACTACAGTTTTCTATACAGCGGACTACAACATGGATGTTTAATAAGAACGAGGGACTACTGTAAACTCATCTAGAGACTCTGCACCGTGCTCTGATGCTGTTGCTTTATGCTTTATGAACGGGGACAACAGAGAAACATATTCTTCATGACCAAAGTTGGAATTGAAATTAAAAAAGGAAAGTGAAACTTATGCTCGTCACCCTCTCCCTCCGGTCCACATTAATACAAATGATCCCAATACGTATGATTGTATGAACTATGAACATATCTTAAAATCAATACAAATGTATTTATTATAACGTTAGTCCTTAACATCTATCTCTGTGTATATCACCATTCAAACATCTTTTAAAAGTTGAACAAACTCCACACAGCTCAGTGAAATGTTGACTTTATTTAATCATTTCAGTAAAAACTAACGTTCATATTTCTCTCTTTGATTATAATACTGATGAACGTTCAAAACAAAGCACTTTGGCAACTTACCACATACGTTTTAAAATGCTTAATAAGCACCGTAACTTTCATGATATAATGTCTCCGTCATAATCGTTTGTTGACTGTTGTGTGACGGCAAATGCTGCGGCTGCAAGGCATTGTGGGGCAGCATTTTCTCCTCTCCTTTCGGTTAGGGAGGTCCAGTGGTTCCTAAGCTAAAGGAGGTTATAAAGGAAGTTTGAAACCTCCTTTCCTTTCATTTAGAGAATTGAAACGGCACTTATCATGGCTGCCACTGAGGGACTTCCGGGTCATTTCACTTGGTTAGGAAGGTTCCTAAGCTAAATGGACTATTGGGACGCAACCTAGGACTTCCTCTAAATTAAAACCAATATTATGAAATTCAAAAGTTGATAAGACCTTAATTATTGGGGATGTTTTATGTGATCTCATTCGCATCCAATCCAGGTTCAGATCGGGACCATTTCACTATGTGCTTTTTTAATATTATATCTCTGTGTGATCAAAGTGAGGTCAGTAATTGCGTAAGTAAGTCTGTCCTTAGCTGACTATTATTCACACTAGCCTTTCACCTGCTGTCCGTCCTCAGATTCTTTCCACCTTTAAGACAAGTCTGTGATCCACTCGGTGGTGGTGGGCAGGGGAGCATCGGTCACGGTGCTGTTTACTTTTACAACACACACACACACACACACACACACACACACACACACACACACACACACACACACACACACACACACACACACACACACACACACACACACACACACACACACACACACACACACACACAGACACACTCATCGCTGACCTGTGTCTCCTGTGTGCAAGCTGTCAATATTTAAGTTTAGGTTAAACCTCAGAGGGACCTACTCGATGTTCCTGTCCTGATGTTCAGACTCAGACCCTCACATGGGACATCCCACACTGAAAACAGTCACCCTGCCTCACTTTACAGATGTATGGATCATAATTAAAACTTTGTTGGCGATGTTTGAATGTACTGTACTTAATATATAACACTGTGGGAGTGTTTTCAGAGTCAGGTTTCATCTAAAGCACATGTTTCAAACTCATTTGCCCCGCAGATGCGCTTGCAAGCAAATTAATTTAGACTCTCATTACATCTTGGTCAGAAATGTCACAACAATTGGTGGCTGTTTGTGTCAGTATGCTAAGGTTTTATATCTTTGCCGTGCAATTTTTCTTAATGCTGCAGGTGTGCTGTCAATTTAAGGAACATATTATATTTGTATTTGCTAGTGTTTTGTCAAGTTGCATGTGTGTTGAGTCCATGTAAACCTGAAACACAAAGCTTTTATGAACCGTTTTCTCACTTAAATACATGTTTTTCTCAGGTTGCGTCCTACATCCGTGTTGTGAATGACATCTACGACAAGGTGGACTTTGATGGAATCAAGCTGATCAACTTCAAAGTGAAATCCCTCAAAGTAAGACCTCTCTGCACTCAAACAACCACACCATTGAGCCACATCTAACCATGACGCACTTCGAATGCTTGTCTGCTTTAACTCCATAAAACCAGTAATCTGGGTTTTAACCAAATTAATTCTTATATCACAATGTGTCATGGCCTCGAGATAATTATATTAAAGTCTCAATTGGTGCTTATATGTCTTCTTTGACCAGTGAGAAAGTAAGGGTATGAGGCTCTCACTTCAACACGATTTAAAAAGACAAAAACAACATGTTATAGCGGGTTATGTAGAGGAGCGTGTAATGGTTTGTATGAAATAAGTACAAAATCAAAACTTATGAACGCAGTGGCGGACAAAGTACTCAGAAAAGTATTTGCAGCAGGTAGAGGGGGAGCTGTATTTTCTATATATTGCAGGTTAACTTGTAAATGAATGATTTTGTTAGCAACGTGACTCAAAGACTCAAATGCAACTTGAGACAAAGTTCAAAAACAAAGTACAACAACAAAATCACTCTTTCAGAGGCAAAGCATGGCAAAGGCTAAATGCAAAACCTTAAGTCTAAATTAACTTGACTCAAAGGTTGTTGGCATCAAAAGGCTGGCTCTCATTTCTGCACATGAAGCGAGACGAACAGGCACAAGACAAAGAGACACGAGGACTATATATACAAGAGGTAATGGGACACAGGTGGCCACAATCAAGGGGGGGGGGCTGACAATCACACTGGCGGGAAAACACACAATGACAGGAAGTTAAAAATAAAACAACAAAACCTGGCCAAATGAACACACATGACGTGATGTTACAGATTTAATATTAATTTGAACTATTTTCTGATTATATAATTAGTATTATTCATCTGAATCAAATCTACATAATAACTCGAGCTGAAGTCGAGTCAAAAGTCAACATTTTCCTCTGAATTCTATGAGAGTAGATTTATAAAGTAGTGGGAAATGTAAATATTTAAGAAAGTAAAAATACCTTAAGGACACTACTTAAGTAAATGTACCTTCCACCACTTATCCAGCAATACCTGCAGTATATCCTTTTTGTGCCCGGATCTAAGAAAAATCTGTCTTTTGGCATCGGTTGTTGGTACTAGTATCGCTCATTTGAAAGTGATACCCTGCCCTAACGCCATGTAAGCTCATTTACAGATCTTTGTGCGCCTGTCTCTCTCCAGATGATGGCGGAGGAGGATCAAAACGACCCCATGAACCATCAGTTCATCGGGCCTGAGAAGCTGCTGAGTCTGTTCTCTGAGAACAACTGGGGCAACTACTGTCTGTCCTACCTGCTCACCAACAGAGACTATAGCGGCGTGCTGGGGCTCGCCTGGGAGGGCAAAGCTGGTGAGGCTCACTGAGACACATGTGCACGCAACTCACAACCAAACGCTCTGACACAAGCAAAAGGGCGGCGACTGTACTGTAAAATACTACGCCTTCTGACAGCAGGGAGTCTTTTGAACGTTTAGGTTGAGAACACATGTCAGGCTGAAGAGGAATGTGAAACAGATATAGTTCTGCTCTGCCTCTCTGTGTGAATCTATGCAGGAATCTCTGTTTATATATCAAGGTGGAGCTTTTTCACTTTTGATAGAAACCAAAACCAGAGGTCACTTTCAACACTCACAGTTTCCAGATCAGTGAGAATGATATGATTGATCTGTTGCAGTGGTGTAGTGGGGATTTTTTTACTGGGTGGACGCAATGTCGACGCTCGTGAACTGAACTGTCAACGGGGGGGGGGGGGGGGGCAACTTACATGATGCCGGTTAAAATAATAAAGGACGGTGCCGGACGTCAGCGAACCGAACTTTCTGCGCGACTGTCACTCAAATGCGGGACATAGTTTCAATTTGTGGGACGCGGGTCACCCTAGTCATCCCAAACAATGCCGCAAGTGTGCAGTGCACTCACAAAACGGGCAGACAGCAGGTCTACAGAAACTACCGGTATAGGTACTTAGTCCTACTTTAGTTACTGTACTGCAAAAACACACACACAGACTCAAAACCATGGACACACCGGCACATAAACAATTTATAGGCCTAAGTTGCATAAATGCTTAGACTTAGACTATTACAAAAAAAATCATGCTTCAAAAAAGTGGGGGCTCCAAATAAGTGGGGGGACGGCGATCCCCCGCGTCCTACACCACTGATCTGTTGTGTAGAAACAGCTTGAATCCAGCGGCAGGACATAATAAAAACAAGACGTACAGCAAAATAACAAACGCCACTAAAGTTAACTGAAATTTCTTTTTGCAACATGTGTTTTGGATGCACTTAGCTTGAGTTCATGGTATATTAAGAGTGAATGTTAGCCTCCCTTGGTTCTTCCTGGATCAGATGATGATGTGGCACACAGAGAATTAAACAGCTTTTATTTCAGGCCTTTTATACAAGCAGTGTTTTGGTTTCAGGAACCAAAAGGAAACATGAGGGAATTCCTTCATTGCAATCCGCAGCTGGCAGGCTGGCTGATGCTGGGAGGTAAATAGTTATTCAACCAATATAATAACAAACTAAAATATTTTACCAACCCTAGGTCTGACATCAATTAATAGCTGACATTTTCTTACAAATGAATGCACAGAAGCTGCTTTAAAATGTGTGTTGTCAAATAAGAACTTTTAACAAACAAAAGTAAATCAACTTATATTGATTGTATCAGGGAATGGTTGGTTGACCTTAATTCACACATTTACAAAAGTTTAACTGGTATAAAAACATGTCTCTGAGCTCTGCTGACAGACACACTGTGTGTTTAGCATGTTTTAAGACATGCATGTTGGTGTTGTTGAAGGAGGATCTTCCTTTTTGTCTATATTGTCTATTACCCAGACGCAGCTCTTGATTGGCTGAACTGAGAGGCGTGAGAGCAGACCTCCACAATATCACACACGCAAACACACACACACACTCTCCCAGGCATCTTAGTGAGGATTGCTGACTGCATTCCACATCACCATAGTGACAACTTACATGCTGCACACACACACACACACACACACACACACACACACACACACACACACACACACACACACACACACACACACACACAGTTGGGAATTTGCAGTGTCATGCTGCCTCGGAGTAATTAACGTGGATAATGTTTGACTTCCAGAAACAGATAAGCTCAACCCTGAGTGTCTCCACCAGTGTGTTACCAGTGTTGGAAAATCAAAGTCCCATTAACCATGTGACCTTAAACTCAAAGACCTTAATGTCAGTTCTGCTACAGCAGGGTGCACCATGCACACACACATGTAGACACAAACATGCACACACACTTCTGCTGTCAATCATTCAGACCTATCACACACACAGTTACTTTCCCTCCCCTCCTGATTCTAATTGAGGAACAAACACACATTTTCCACCCAATATGTTTGGAGTTCAGAGGGTTTTTTAGTGAGCTGTATGCTGTGTGAAAGCATTGCTGTCCTTTTAGGAGAAACACACTAGTTCTAATAGGCTATACATACATATCATTAAAATGTTGATATTTAATGCACGTCGTTAACTTTTCACTGTTCTGCCCATGAGAGGCTACATTAATATATAAACGTATAATAGATTTTTGAAAGGCAGACTCGTTTTTTTGGGAGATTGTGGTTGTATAATAATAACTCCCTTATAGTAATCCAGGCAGTGTATACATTTGAAACCTCAAAAATATGGCGTCTCCCAGTCGCTTCTCTTAAAATACCACAGTCTATGGCTCTGACAATGTAATACATCTTGTGAAACTTATTGTCATTGCATTGTTCAACCAGTAAAAGTAGGCTATGAGTTTTGATTTAAGCAAAACATCACAATCCTTGCACCAAAAACACAGATATTGCAACTCTTGCACTGATAGTTTTGTCAGTGATTATTACCTCCATCAAGTATGTTATGTATGTTGTTTGTCAACAGGATTACAGAAAAAAACCCTGTCGAATTTTCACGAAATGTTGTGAAAGAGTGTATCATTGGCCACGGAGAAAGCCACAACATTTCCGAGTGGATTGTGGTAGAAAAACTCCCTCTGGAGGGAACTTTTTTAGCCTTTGCACCAAAACATTTATAACAACACAATACAGGAAACCCCCAAAAAGCCGAATAGGGCCCCTTTAATATCAAAGATGAGAGTGATTGAAGTTGTATAATAACTGATATAAATCAGAGCAAAACCATAAAGAAATGTTGAATATAACCTGTGGTAAAACCCAGACAATCTATTGTTTTCACACGAGGAAAAGGCCAAGTTGGTCTCACAATATAGTGAAATATTCAGGCAGGTCAATGAACTCTGGAGACAAAGAGAGCAGTGATGGAAAGCCATTAGACGCGGATATATTATGTACAGTACCTTACAGTACATCCCGAGCACAGCCACTGTACTTTTCTGAGAATTGTAGACAGAGTTATTGGCGGTCAAATGTCCCGCTGTGTCTGTTTTTGTTGTTAAAGGCATTATTAGGACACTGGGTCTCCCCCTGCCTGTGTATCCAAGGAAAGACTGCCCCTTTACTATTGTTTGTTTTTTCATTTTAAACCATGTGAAAGAGAGAGAGATTGTGTGTGTGTGTGTGTGTGTGTGTGTGTGTGTGTGTGTGTGTGTGTGTGTGTGTGTGTGTGTGTGTGTGTGTGTGTGTGTGTGTGTGTGTGTGTGTGTGTGTGTGTGTGTGTGTGTGTGTGCGTGCGTGCGTGCGTGCGTGCGTGTGTGTGTGTGTGTGTGTGTTGTTTGTCTATGATGTTAATTGATACTGCAAGACCAAATACTCTTGGAAGTATGAGTTACTGTGTGTATGTGCGTCTAAGTGTGTGTTTCCTTCCTGATGGTGTGTGTATTATTCTGCAAGTGATACGCTTGTTTCTCGGCCGTGTGCTTTTCCAGCGAGCTAATAATAGGAGTCTTTCATTACGGGTCCTTTCTGTGGCGAAGACGAGAGGGAGGGGGGGGATACAATCACAGCCCCCCTCTGCTCGGGCTGCCAAAAGAACACAGTGGTTTCCAAACTAAACTCTTTCTAGGAAACCCGGCTCCTTGAATGGGCCAGGGAGGCCATTTTAGGTCAAAAGCTGGGAATGCAGGGGGGGGGGCTACACATCCAGAAAGCTTGAGTAACATGACTGAGGAGGTCTTTGCTCTTTTTTGGGGAGGAAATAACACGATAAAATACAAAGAAACTGTAACTTAAGGTAATGGACAGACATACAGAGTATAACATTACGTGAAGCAGATACAATGATACACTAAATGATATGATGTAACACATTAGTTAATATTCTATGGGTATGAGTGACTCTTGTATGAATAGACATGTGTTTGTTGAAAAAAAAGAAGGCCAGATGCAATTCATAGAAAAAAGGACAATTGTTTATTCTGTCTCACGTGATGCAAATATAATATAATACAAATTAAAAAAGGCCTATTATTAAACCTCTATCTTAAGGGTGCATTCACACCCACAGTTTGTTACATTGTTTCATTTTTCAGAAGGTTCAAAACACGGGCAAAACTCAAACGGACTATAAACTTTAAACGCAAGTCATGTGCACGGAAATGCTGTTCAACCATTGGTCAGACATTAAGGGGGTAAAAACGTAAATCCCGGCCATTTCTACCGGAGCCTCCGCCATGGAGCATCGGCACTTTCGGCAGGTTATTCTCATGCTGCTGTTAATCTGGAGATCAACAGACACTAGCGGCCCGCGCATATGATTATATAATCAGACAACGTCCGTTAACAAACATTATAACATAATGAGAGACGTTCTGCAGTAAGGAGGGGCGTTTCACCGACGACAGGTGTTCTTCATTTTATGTAGCTGACGGAGCATTTTTACTTTACACGACACTGTTCAACACTTCATTCTGCTTCACTCTTTAACTCAGGGGTGGGGAACCTTTTTCCTCTCAAGGGCCATTTCAATTTTTACAATATCCTCAGAGGGCCGTACAAATGATTGACCTCTGCTTAAAAAAACTAAAATCACAGCCCATTCATTTCATTCTGTGCAAAGAATAAGCAACCTCTTAATCCAGATATCTCACCATGACTCGCGCATGAATGCACGTGCACGGTGTGGCGTGACCACCAAAACAGAAAGATATGGACACAAGATGTGTGCAAATGTATTTAGTTTCCTATCCATGTGAACATGATTTAAGTGGGGGGGGGGGGGGGGGGGGGGGAGCTAACCTCCTCTAGGGGGGTCCGGGGGGGCATGCTCCCCCGGGAAGATTTGTTTTTAAATGTTGAAGTTGAAAGCTTCAATCTGGTGCACTTTGAGAGCAACATTAGGAGATCTATGGATACATCTCTCAACATCCATATGAAACAGAACTGGAAG